ACACTTATCACAGTCTCCAATGACTTGGGCAATTCCAAGATATCTATCACCATAACCTTTTCTAAGTTTTCCCAAAGAAATACCTAAGTGACAGGGTATAGTTATCTGAAAAATCTATGAAGAAAAAGAAATGGCTGGGACATAAAAACAATCTCCTAATAATTCTAAGTAACTAAAGAACCTGGAATGAACTTGGCTATTTCTCCCTTGGAAGGAGAGTTGTCTGTCTGACGCAGTCAAGTGCTCATCTATGGAACTGTCCAGAGGGCTACTATCTGGAAGGAGGGGGTGGCACTGCTGTTACCTGTTTGATTCTTTAGTCATCCAACTAGCATTTAAGAAAGTCAATTAATACAATAATTTTTATTGAGTTTATAAAAAAAGAATGCATTAATTCTGAGTTTAAGAATTTTTATAGGGCCGGCCCCGTGGCTCAGCGGTTAAGTGCGCGCGCTCCGCTGCTGGCGGCCCGGGTTCGGATCCTGGGCGCGCACCGACGAACTGCTTCTCTGGCCATGCTGAGGCCGTGTCCCACATACAGGAACTAGAAGGATGTGCAGCTATGACGTACAACTATCTACTGGGGCTTTGGGGGAAAAAATAAATGAATAAATAAAATAATAAAAAAAAAAAGAATTTTTATACCTTAGCTTATAAAGATCTCATTATGTAATGATTGTTAACTCTTTAGAAATCATAATCTTCAAACTGCTTTGTTCAGTGGTATATAATTATGGTCCTACCTCTTCATTCAACAAAACATTTATTGTGATTATAGTACATACCTAATGTTTTAGGAATAATCCTTCGATGGGCTAATTTATTGGGATTCTAGCCTGAAAAATATAATGTCAATCATTTCTTAGCAAAGTTGTTCACTGAAATAAAAAGACTTGGGCTCTATATGGGCCTCTAATTAGGCTATTTCTTCTCATTACATATTACCTGACAACAGAGAATAATGACAATTGCTAATATTTACTAAGCCCTTATAATGTGAAAGACATAATAATCCTATGGGGTAATTATTACTGTCATCTTCATTTTACAGATGAGAAAATGGAGGCCTAATTCATATAGGACAGAGCCTGGTTTTAAATCATGGTCTGACTTAAAGCCTGTTCTCATAACACTATATTATCCAAACAAGGTAATAAATAAGTTATTAGTTCAAACGAATGATTTGCTCCTTTGTCATCTAGGCCACATCACTGACCTGCTACTACACAGCTCAGAAATCCAAACTAGAGAAAAACTAGAATTTGACAACATTGCATTCTGGAACATGAACTCCAGCTTGTGGTTGTTAGGGTGAGCAAGCTATTCCATGAACTAAATAAACAGAAACATTCACAATAGAAATAGAGGTGAGGCTGGCTGGGAGCACCCCTATTTCTGACACCTCAGGTCCACCTCTGGGGACACCACTATAAACACTGGCAGAATACTACAGACATTATGAAACGTCCAAAGAGCGACCACGCATTTTTAGTGACTACGAAACAGGCTCTGACAGTATAAAACCTTGTGTTTTTCCAACTCCAAATAGATTTTCTTTTGGGATGGGGTCAGAAATCACTAGGGCAAAGGTAGCTCCCTCACTGGCTGTTGACCTGCTGCCTCAACTGTGAGGCGCTGTGATTTACTGCCTGAGTGGTGTTGGGCAAGATGAGAGCACTCTGAGAAGGGTGTCCCGTCTCTCTCTAGACTCTCCTCTCTCGCTTCTGTTACGTGGCATACATGCCATGACTTATCCTGTCTTAAATGCTGCACATGTCCAATAACTCAGAGAGTGATCAAAAACTACTGGTAGTTCCCAGCAACCCATACCTTAACCACCGGTTTTTAAACTATTCTGTTCTGATTCACATACTATAAACTAACGTGTTCTCTTCAGGTTTAGCTCACTCTTACACTTTTTGCACACTACTGTTGGAGTAGTCTTTGCCTCTCCAACCAGATCCTGAGCTCCTTGAGGTCGGGAACCAAGCCAATAGAATTCTAATTCAAGTCACCGTAGCTGAGAGTAGCTGGCGCAAAGCTGGGCTCTACATATTTGTAGTTGAAAATCAAACCAACAAATATTTGACTTCCTATCACAGGAATTTCTCAGAACCTCCATCAGAATCACGTGGGAAGTTTGGCGAATCTGAATAAGGATATCTGGGATAGACTCAGGGATGTACATTTTATTTATTTATTTATTTTTTGGGTGAGGAAGATCAGCCCTGAGCTAACATCTGCCAATCCTCTTCTTTTTTGCTGAGGAAGATTGGCCCTGGGCTAACATCCGTGCCCATCTTCCTCCACTTTATACAGGACGCTGCCACAGCATGACTTGACCAGCAGTGCATCGGTGCGCATCGGGATCCGAACATGTGAACCCCGGGCCATGGAAGCCGAGCGCATGCACTTACCCACTGCGCCACCCGGGCTGGCCCAGGAATGTACATTTTAAACAAGCCCCTCAGGATATTCTTATGCACATGGAAGTCTGGGAACTAGACAGCTGTGACATACAAACACACACTTATATGCCTAAATATATGTTTTAGACAAGGTATGGGTAAGGTGCCAACAAAATAAAGTTTAAGTAACATTTCTAATCTCATTTCCTCTTCTCTCATTGCCTTCCTCTCTCCACTGCTCGAATCATCCTCCTCGAGCAAAAGTCTGATCAAGCCTTTCCTTTGTTCAAAACCTTCCCGACTATGACAAATTAAAACCCATAGCTGTAAGCTTGTCTTTTAAGAATCTTTATGGAAGCCTGGCCCAGTGGCGTAGCAGTTAAGTTCATGCACTCTGATTCAGCAGCCCCAGGTTCGCAGGTTCAGATCCCGGGTGTGGACCTATGCACCGCTTATCAAGCCATGCTGTGGTGGCATCCCATATAAAGTGGAGGAAGATGGGCACGGATGTTAGCCCAGGGCCAGTCTTCCTCAGCAAAAAAGAGGATTGGCAACAGATGTCAGGGCTAATCTTCCTCAAAAAAGGAAAAAAAGAATCTTTATGGCCCACCAGCAATCAACACAACATTTTAAATAAGAAAACAAACTCTGGAGCCAGAATGAGTTCCAATCTCAGCCCCACCAATTATTAGTTGTATGATCTCAGGCAAGTCACTTCGCCTCTGTGCCTCAGTTTCCTCATCTGTAAAATGGGGACAGTAATAGTATCTTCCTGATAGGGCTGTTGACAGAATTAAATGAATTAATATATGCACAGCACTCAGAATAGTGCTGGCACATAGTAAGTGCAATATAAGTGTTAGCTATTACTCTTATCATGATTATGCCCTACTGCTCACCTCCTCACACACTACAATCTAGTCTTATTATTACTTCCTGCTCCTTGGGCATTTTTCCATATCACACTTTTCCCTCCATCTGTAACACAGCTCCACACCATCCCTGGGTCAAAAATGTCCAACTGATAAGACCCAAATCAACTGTCACTTGAAAGTCTTTAATGACTAACTCCCTCCACACCCAAATTAATCCTTCCCACCTCTATGCATTGGCATAACTTTTATTTGTGTACGTTTCCTCATCTTCTAGACTATAATTTCCCCAGAGAGGTTTGGTTTTAGGAATGAGAGAGGTTTGGAACCCAGGTCATATTTATCCTCCCTGAGCCTCATATTTCCCATATAAGTTCAGGATAATAATATCTACTTGGAAGGAGGTTTAAATGACAAACTCTATCCATGGATACTCAAAGAGTCTACTGTATGGCTGATCGGTATATTAACAGAATTACTATATTTGCATTTACTGAGCGCCAGCTACGTAAGTAGTGTACGTAGTAAGCCAAGCCCTGGAGCTTACACACAAAAGAACTGCCCTGGAGCAGCAGTTTTTCCATCAAGTTTATGGAGACAGGCAGGGAAACGCAGAGCACCTCAAACACCCGGCTTGGCTGTTTACACACCAGCCGTGACAAGAACAAACAAAACAACCCAACCCGCACGTGCACTCCGTGCCGGCTCTGGGGTGTGCCCGGGGAAAGAGAGTACAGCTCCTTCCTATTGGCCTTTCAGAGCGCGACATCATGACCACCCCCAAAGGACCGGCCAATGGGCGTCGGCGGGGAGGACCCAACGGCGACAGTTGACCGCATGACAGCGCCTGGGCTCTCATTTTCTCCTCTCCATCAAAGCTGGGGGGGCAGCCGCCTCGGGCAGTGACAGGGCCGCCTCCTGTTCCGCCAAAGATCCCCAGTTAGACCCACAGCCTAACTCTCATTTGCCTTTTTTTCCTAAACGAAAACTCCCTTTTGCTCCAGTTCAGTTTTCTAAGCCGTGAGTTCGGAGCCCAACCCCACTGTTGACTTTGGGGTTTCACTTTCCCTTTCCTGCGCGTCCGTTACCCTATTTTAAGACGGGAGCCATCGCTCCGCTTTGAGGCAAGAACGTGCCTCGCTAAGGAGACCTGAAGCCCAGCCTGATGTCTATCGGGAGCCTAATCCCAGTGCGACTCCGGGGTTTCACTTTTCCTTTTCTGCGCCTTCTAACCCTATTTTAAGACGGGAGCCATCGCTCCGCTTTGAGGCAGGCACGTGCCTCGCTAAGTAGACCTGAAGCCCAGCCCGGCGTCTATCGGGGGCCTAATCAATTCTGGACGCGTTGTCGCAGGCTGCGGGAGGCGCCCTGGGGAGGCGCCCCGTCGTCCCCCTCCAGGGGGTGTGGAAGCGACGCCCCCTCCCTCTCGCCCTGTAGAGACCCTGGAGCCACGGGCTCTGACTCTGATCCCCGAGGGCTCACAGGCGAGGCCCAGCGACAGGCCGAGCGGGATGTGGGGCTCTCGAGACGGGATGGGGAAGCTGGCCAAGCGCGGGGTCCACGCCCGGATGCCAAGACTGCGGATGCTCAGGACCCGGCCTGGCTGACGAGAGCCCCGCGCACCTCTTCCGACTTCGTCCCCCACTCCCGTCCTCCACACCCGGCCCCGACATCGAGCCCGGGCCACCCGCTCGCCATCCCCCGCCGCGCCGCTGCTCACCACTCCGCTCACCCCCGGGCTGACCTGGCCGTCTGGCACCCTCCTGAACCCCTGCGGAAGTACAGGAGGAGTTGGCCGCTTCACTTCCGGAAGAAACACCTAGGACGGACTGCGGAGGAGGGTTCCCACTGCCCGCGACCATAGAGGAGAGGCCGCATTCGTTTCCCAAGCCCCTCAACCCCGCGACCTCCCGGCCGCCTAGAGCGGCCACTCCCCGGCCGAGGACTTTGGCGCATGCGTAGTACCGCCGGCCCCGCCCCTTCCTTTGCGTGGACACACCTTGGGCCGGGGCGTTACCCCCCGAGGGTGAGGCGGGTGTTTGGGTTTGCTCCAGCGGGGCGTGTGTTTCTGTGTCTGGAGGAGACAGCTTTGTCCAGAAATTAAAATGTTATTACAAGACAGCACTGTACTACTCGCCACAAATTTTTTTTGCCTTCACATTTTATGCAGAAAATCAAAGGACCATGGCTCAAGTTCCGTTTGCAGTAAGAAGAATCGGGATTAAAATAACTTTTTTATCACCGCGTTTTTTTCTCCCAGCGTCTTGATCCGTTGAAAATTCATGCTGATTATGTGTTTTAAATCGCTGGCCTGGAGATTGTTAAATTGATCATTTGGGACAACATTTTTTTTTTCCTGTCTATCAAATTGGCAAAGAGTAAAGATTGGTAATGGCCTGTGCTAATGGGGGGAGTGTGTGAAGTCAGTTTCTGGAGGATAATTGGCAATAGGTATCAGTATATTTTTTTTAAATTGTGGTAAAAGATACATAATGTAAAATTTACCATTTTAACCATTTTTAAGTGCCCAGTTCAGTGGCATTAAGTATATCCACATTGTTCTGCAACCATCATCATCATCATCATCCATCTCCAGGACTTTTTCATCTTCCCAAACTGAAATTCCATACCTATTCAAACAACTCCCCGAGATCCCTTCTCCAAGCCTCTGGTAACCACCGTTCTGCTTTTTGTTTCTATGAATTTGACTACTGTAGGTACCACATATAAGTAGAATCATACAGTATTTGTCTTGTTATGACTGGCTTATTTCATTTAGCATAATGTCCTCAAGTTTCATTTTCCTTTTCAAGGCTGAATAATGTTCCGTTGTATGTATATATCATGTTTTGTTTATCCATTCATCTGTTAATGACACTTGGATTGTTTCCACCTTTTGGCTATTGTGAATAATGCTGCTGTGAACATGGGTGTGCAAATACCTGTTTAAACCTCTGCTTTCATTTCTTTTGGATGTGTGCCCAAAAGTGGAATTGCTGCATCATATAATTCTATTTTTAATTTTTGTGTGTGTGTGTGTGTGTGTGAGGCACACTGGCCCTGAGCTAACATCTGTTGCCCATCTTCCTCTTTTTGCTTGAGGAAGATTGTCACTAAGCTAACATCTGTGCCAACCTTCCTCTACTTTGTATGTGGGACGCCGCCATAGCATGGCTCAATGAGCAGCGTATTGGTCTGTGCCAGGGATCCAAACCCTTGAACCACTGGCCGCTGAAGCAGAGTTTGCAGTTTCAACCACTACGCCACCAGGCCGGCCCCTGTTTTTAATTTTTTAAGAAGCACTGTACAGTTTTCCATAGTGGCTGCCTGATTTTACATTCCCACCAGCAGGACACAAAATTCCAATTTCTCACTTAATGGGTGTGAAATGGTTTCTCATTGTGGGTTTGATTTGCATTAGTGATGTTGAGCATCTTTTCATGTGCTTTTTGGCTATTTGTATATCTTCTTTGGAGAAATATGTATTCACGTTTTGTCCATTTTTTAATTGGATTGTTTGTTTTTGAGTTGTTGAGTTGTAGGAGTTTTTTTATATATTATAAATGTTAAACCTTTAGCAGATATATGATGTGCTAATATTTTCTCCCATTCAGTGGATTGCCTTTTCACCTTGCTGGTAGTGTCTTTTGATATACAATTGTTTTTAATTTTGATGTAGGTCAATTCATCTATTTTTTCTTTTGTTACCTGTGCTTTTCGTGTCCTAGCCAAAAAATCATTGCCAAATCCAATGTCATGAAGGTTTTGCCCTGTGTTTTCTTCTAATAGTCTTATAGTTTTAGCTCTTACATTTAGGTGTTTGATCTATTTTGAATTGTTTTATATGGTGTTAGGTAAGGGTTCAACTTCATTCTTTTTTTTTTTTTTTTTTTTGAGGAAGCCTGGCCTTGTGCTAACATCTGTTGCCAATCTTTCTCTTTTCCTTTTTTCTTTTTTTTCCTCCCCAAAGCCCCGGTACATAGTTGTATAGTTGTATATCATAGCTGTAGAGTTATAACTCTTCTGTATGGGACGCAGCCTCAGCATGGCTTGATGAGCAGTGAGTAGGAGTAGGTTGGCGCCCAGGATCCAAACCATGAACACTGGGCTGCCGAAGCGGAACTCTTGAACTTAACCACTGCACCACCAGGCTGGCCCCTCAACTTCATTCTTTTGCATATGGATATCCAGTTTTCCCAGCACCATTTGTTGGAAAGTGTATCCTTTCCCTATTGAATGATCTTGGCATCCTTGTTGCAAATCATTTGACCATATATTTGAGGGTTTATTTTGGGGCTTTCTATTCTCTTTCATTGGTCTGTATGTCTTTATGCCAGTACCACACTGTTTTGATTTCTGTAGTTTTGTAGTGAGTTTTGATATTTGTTTAATTTAAATTACTTTAAATTTAAGTGGCCATATGTGGCTAGTACTTTCCATTTAGGACTTTTTTAGTTGAAACAAGAAGGCAGAGAGACATTTCAAGCTTGAGGTTTGACTACTTGTCCTATTGGTATATGCCCTTCCCATTAGATCCGAACTCTAGAATTGACATTCACTTGCTGCTGCCTCACACTAGGGATAGTGGGCATAATTTCCTGTATATAAATTTCCATTGAATGAGGCATGGAAAGTGGACTTGTTGTGGGACCTGGTGGGGAAAATATGGCTAGACTCTTATTTGTTCTTCAGAGTACTTAATATTTCCTTTTGGGAGGAAAATGGTTAAACTGGTTTGTACTCAGTATTTCTCTCAAACCTCAGAGATACGAATGCAGGGAAATGTGACAGCAAGTCAAAACTCTGATCATTTCTTACATATATTTATACAGGGCCTTAAAGTTCACATACATTATCACCACTGATCTCAACCCTTTTTAGTGGATGAGGAAATTGAGGTTTAAGAAGGTTGAATATGTTCCAGACCTAATAAATGGCAGAACTAGCCTTTGAAAACAGATCTTCTAGCCAGCTTCATAGTAGGCTTTTGTGAAAGACCAAGGTTATTCATTCACTGAACCCATGTTTATTGATGTGTCGTGGTAGGCTCTGGGGTTCAATGGCAAATACCAAACCAAAGTAAAACGCCGTTAGGCAAGACTTTATCTGTGCTGCTTGCTTTAGTATTCCCAGTGGCTAGTGCAGTAAAGGTCTCAGCTCTGCTTTCTCTGTCACCTCTCTAAGTAACCTTCCCTCCCATTCTTATTGCAGCACCCTGCTCTTTCTCTTCATAGCGACTATCGTGTTTCCGAGTGGCAAGTTTCCTATCTGACTTTCTCCTCTTCCCGCAAATTAAGCTCCAATGGGGCAGGGACCTTGTCTTTTTTTGTTTATCATTGTATCCCTACGCCTTTCAGAGTGCCTGGCACCTAATAGGAACCCAGGAAATGTGTGTCCATCAACTGGATGTCAAGTTAGGCCACGCCTTGGGGACTTCGGTAGCCACGCCCCTCCTCTGTTCCTGGAAGGAGTGAGAGGAGCCCATCCGGGGCCCCGCCCCCGCCGTGACGCAGGCGCACGTGACGCTCGCCGGCGCGCGCTGTTTCCGGAAGTCGCCGCTGGGGTCTCCGCAGCTGCTGCCTCCGCGGTCGCCGCGGAGCTCCACGAGTAGAACGGCGGAGGCGGGCTCGGGCGGGACGGGGGCTGCGGCCACTGTGCAGAATGGAGATAATCAGGAGCAGTGCGTGTCCAACGTGCACCTCCCCGCGTCCTCGCGGCCTCCCTCAGCCGGCCTGCTAGGCCCAGACCACGGCCGGTCTGCTTGGCAGGGCCTGGGGCTGAAGCAGCCCGTCAGGGGTTTGTCCCCCTTAATCGTGGGCGCCTCCTGGGGCCTTGTTCCTCTCTGGCCCGTGCACCCCTAGGGACTTGTCCTCCTCCTTCCCGGGCACCCCCCGGGGCCTTGTCCCTCTTTGGCCGGTGCACCCTCGGGGCTTGTCCCTGTCTAGCCCATGCACCCCTCGGGGACTTTCGGTTCCATGCTTCCCTCCAGGACTTGTACTCCGGCCCGAGGCCTTAGATGCTCCTTGGCCCTCCTTCCCTCTCCCCTTAGGAGCCTGCAGGCAGGAAGCCGGGCCACCGGTTCTGAGCCTCTTCTCGGTTTCTCCGCAGATTTTAAGAGTAATCTTCACAAAGTGTACCAGGCCATAGAGGAGGCCGACTTCTTCGCCATCGATGGGGAGTTTTCAGGTATCCTTCGCTTGTAAGCTCGAGGCCAGCGCCCGGCAATGCATAGCCAAGGCTCCGGTCCCCCGCCCCTGACCTCTGCGTGCTGGCCGCTCCTGCCTGTTTGTAGCCTTAGGCGAGTTGCATGAGTCTCAACGTTTCCTTGTAAACGTTTCAAAAGCACGGAAGGGATGAGGTGGATTTGTGATTGTTTGAGCTCTGAGAGTTGCAGGTAGAGATCATGGTTTGGTGCTGCTTAAAACTTTTTGACATGTACATGGGTTAGGGTCAGGCTTGTGTGTGTGTGTGTGTGTGGTAAAATATACATAACCATTTTTAAGTAGTTTTACAGTTCAGCAGCACTAAGTACATTCACAGTGTGGGGCAGCCATCTCCACCATCCATCTCCAGAACTTTTTCATCTTCCCAAACTTTGTACCCATTGAACAATAACTCTCAATTCCTTCTTCTCTTCTGCCTCTGGCAACCACTATTTCTGCCTCTATGAATTTGACTGCTCTAGGCACTTCTTGTAAGTGGAATCATACAATATTTGTCCTTTGTGACTAACTTTAGGGTCAGGCTTTTGTGGGTAAATGAGGGTATTCCTTTATGCATTAGTGGAAGTGTTCATTGCCTACCTTGTTGTGGGTGTGTATGTGTGTGTAATACTTTACCTACACTTAAAATTGCAAGGATTTTTTCTTTGGATCAAAGACTAATTTTTCAATTATTGAAGTCAGTATGAACAGTTGGCTCCCTTTGGTATAGATATCCACTTCTGCTATCTGATTTTACATGTTTAAAAAACTGTTCATCTCTTTCTAAAGGAGTCCATGCTGGAGGTAAATAGGGATCCTTGGCTTTAATTAAGCATGCAGTTTCTAGTTGGAATCAGTTCCCCGGGAAGCTAAGAGTTTTCACCAGAAATAATTTTCTCTTGACCTTGAAAATAACCTTTGTTGTATAGATGTTACTCCAAACTGTTGGCCAAGACCGATACTCTAACAGTAACATACTTCAGGGTTTGTTGATGTCTGATTATGCCTTAATCTTTTGAAAACAGCAAAACTTATTGAATCGTAGAGATAGTTTTCTTAAATATTACTGTGTTTTGAAACCTATTTTAGACACTGGAACTACCCATTCTCACATTGAAACATTCACATCTCTAAATTCATTATTACAGAGTTTAGCTTGGTAGTCAGTGAAATGAATACTAATTTTGAAAAAAGTGAAGCAGTGCTTCCAGTTAATCTTAATTCATAAGAATATGAAATTATAGAGCCATTGACTAGTTGACTGACATTTTTTACTTTATCAGTTATTAACAAGTTAAAAACTTTTATTTCTTAAAATCTAGGAATCAGTGATGGACCTTCAGTCTCTGCCTTAACAAATGGTTTTGACACTCCGGAAGAAAGGTATCAGAAGCTTAAAAAAGTAAGTGGATGTGCTAGAAAATCTTTTTTTTTTTTTTCACATGTTGGTCCTCCTTATGTTGAATTATAGAGAAATATTAAACTTGCACATTAATTTCTCAACCCAGCAGTGAAATGATATTTTAGTGATATTTAAAACAACAGCAAAAATAATTGTTTGCTGGAAAACATGTTGGGGAAGGTTTAGTATTTTCAATGTTAATTTGATTTATAGGAAGTATGATGTGATTATTTTAATCATTTGGAAATAGGCCTAATATGATGCTCTGGATGATGGATAGGTGCTTAATTGGGAAAAATGTTAAGAAATGTATATAAACTAATAATGCTTCTGATACATAATCTGTAATCTGTTCTAATCGGAAGTATTCTGCCAAAGTCAAGTTGAGTAATCAGAAAGCCCACCTGATTGAGAATACTATTGCTCACATCGAATATACAGCACTGTTTTGACAGATGTTTTATTTCCCTTTTCCAGCATTCCATGGACTTTTTGCTGTTTCAGTTTGGCCTTTGCACTTTTAAGTATGACTACACAGATTCAAAGTAGGTTGTTTTAACAAGTGGTGGGAATTCTATTGTCGTGGCATAGTGTAATCCCCTAAGTCTCCTTTTATCTTATTTTTCCCAGGTATATAACAAAGTCATTTAACTTCTATGTTTTCCCGAAACCCTTCAATAGATCCTCACCAGATGTCAAATTTGTTTGTCAGGTTAGTAGTATCATTGAGTTTTTTTCTGTTATGAGTTGCTGATGAGGCAGCATGAAATTGTGGAATCAGAATTCTCTTTAAAATTTGGTTCTACCACTAACATTGGGCTTTGGGCAAATCATTTCACCTCTCTGACCTTCAGTTTTGGAGTTGTAAATTAATGACACTCTTATCTCCCCCGTTACTTCAGAATGAATTAAGGAGTAAGATGCAAGAGACAGATAGATGGAAATCAGAACATTAGCTTTATTATTCATAAAGCTGAATTTGAGACATGGCTTCATAATGTGGCTCTATTTGGGATTTTTAGTATCTTACCCCTGAAGTGAACCTACAGATCAGGACCTGCAGGCTGCTTCCCACCCTGTCTCCTTGCACCCATCCCCAACGGTAGAGCTTTATTTTCTGGAAGAGCAGAGTATGTGTATCCTGTACAAAAAGAGAGAACCCAAAAGGGGCTAATTACATATGCTCAGTTCCTTTTCCCAAGCTCACCATTTAAGAAAGAGGGGTGGAAAAAGACCACTGTTTCCTCCTGAGGAGGAGAGGGCTTATTTTATGAGCCAAGGTAAGGATCCAGGGAGAGTCCCCATTAGGACATCGCTTTAGAGTTGTGGCTGACCAGGTAGACACTCAGTAATATCAGTTTCCCCTTTCTGCCCTCTTGTAAATTGTAATGGATAAGGAGAATGTGAATAAATGGTATAGTGTGTGGATATGTGATTAACAATGACTGTTAATCTTTTCTCCCTTATAATTTTGTGCCCTGGCTTCTCTCCCAGTAGCAACGTCAGTTCATTTGAGTCTTCCCATCTTTCCCTTCTCCTGCTTGAAAGTGGTAATGCAGTTAAGAAAGCCTGGAGGGTAGGCTTCTGAGTGACTGAGTCATGTCAAATTCTTTCTGTAATAAGGCAGGATATAAACAAATGAAATTAAGAGTTAATTGTATGCCTGGGGCTGAAGAGAAAAGGTGAAGGTAATTTTCGTCTTGTAAGCTGTTTTCTTAAATTAGCAAATAAACCGTAATTAATATTTATGTGACATTTGTGTGGAAATAGTTTTCCAGCAGTTCCAGGAGAAGACACTTACTTACAGTGGGTTCCACAGCTTTAGCCAGGTGTTAATCAAATAAAAGCAAACAGTGGCAATGAGACACCTTAGGGATGATGCTCTGTTCTAAAAGAGCAATACAATACGGCTATTCTACGAAAAGTATTGGAAACAGATCAGAAAAACTCTACCCATTGTACAAAGCCATTCTGTGCTTACCCCTGAAACACTTCATGCAGTTCTAGTTCTAGCTTTTTGTGTGTGTGAGGAAGATCGGCCCTGTGCTAACATCTGCCAATCCTCCTCTTTTTTTTTTGCTGAGGAAGACTGGCTCTGGGCTAACATCCGTGCCCCTCTTCCTCCACTTTATATGGGACGCCGCCACAGCATGGCTTGACAAGTGGCGCGTCGGTGCGCGCCCGGGATCCGAACCGGCGAACCCCGGGCTGCCGCAGCAGAGTGCACGCACTTAACCGCTTGCACCACTGGGCCGGCCCCTAGTTCTAGCTTTTTTCTTTAATATAGACAAAATCCTAATATTCGTATTTTATATAACTTGCATGTTCCACTCAACACATCTTCATATTTCATAATATGGATATGTGTAATTTTTTAAATTAGAATTTAGAAGCTTTCCAATGGTTCCCTGTTTTAAACAATGCTATAGTCACCATCCGTGTGCAGTATATCTTGGTGTATATGTAGGAATATTTTTATAGGATAGATTTCCTGGAAGGGGAATTGCTGGCTCATAGGGCATATGTGTTTAAGATTTTGATGGATGCCTCAAATTGGTGTGCTCATCTCTTGAATCCTGAAAATGGTACATTTAGGACAAATCAAAGGTAGTGGATAGTAAACCACAAGTAGATCTTGTTAGTTCAAAGGGTTTTTTTTTTTTTAATTATGGTAAAAAATACATAATATAAAACTTACTATTTTAAGTGGTTTTAAGTTCAGTAGCATTAAGTACATTTACATCATTGTGCAACCTAAAGGGTGTCATTTGAGTGAAAAATATATAGCTTCAAAAAGGGAATAGATGGGGGGCCGGCCTGGTGGCGAAAGCAGTTAAGTGCGCGCGCTCCGCTGCGGCAGCCTGGGGTTCACGGGTTCAGATCCTGGGTGCGCACCAACGCACCGCTTGTCAAGCCATGCTGTGGCGGTGTCCCGTATAAAGTGGAGGAAGATGGGCATGGATGTTAGCCCAGGGCCAGTCTTCCTCAGCAAAAAGAGGAGAGGAGGATTGGCAGATGTTAGCTCAGGGCTGATCTTCCTCACAAAAAAAAAAAAAAAAGGGAATAGATGAATCTTTGATTCTGGATTTTTAAAGAGAAGGAAGTTAGGATTTTTTGGAATCTAGTGACAAGAGAGACAAAAATGCCTTTCCATGCTTCATCTTTCAGTGCCCCTGTCAGGGATAGAATATTTAGGTGGGCAAAAGTATAAGAATACTCAGGCGTGGTAGACAGAAAGGAGGCTTGTGGGGGCCGGCCCCGTGGTGTAGCAGTTAAGTGCTCGTGCTCTGCTGTTGGCGGCCTGGGTTCGGATCCCGGGCGCGCACCGATGCACCGCTTGTCAGGCCATGCCGTGGCAGCATCCCACATAAGTGGAGGAAGGTAGGCACGGATGTTAGCTCAGGGCCAGTCTTCCTCAGCAAAAAGAGGAAGGATTGGCATGGATGTTAGCTCAGGGCTGATCTTCCTCACAAAAAAAAATAAAGTAAAATAAAAAAAAAAGAAAGGAGACTTGTGGCCCAAGTCAGAAGACATTGGGTCTTGGTTCAAAACGGGATAAAGGGGCCGACCTGGTGGTGTAGCGGTTAAATGCACGCCCTCCGCTGCTGTAGCCTGCTGTTTGCAGGTTCACATCCTGGGCACGAACCGACACACTGCTCATCAAGCCATGCTGTGGCAGTGTCCCATATAAAGTAGAAGAAGATGGACACGGATGTTAGCCCAGGGCCAATCTTCTTCAGCAAAAAGAGGAGGATTGGTAATGGATGTTAGCTCAGGGCTAGTCTTCCTCACACACACACAAAAAAACAGGATGAAAAGAGAAGACATGGGGGGAAAGCTTGCTTGTTTTAAACCATAGAAAACCGGGACATGATGGAAAATGATGTGCGTGTACCCAAGTTTGTGTGTGTGTGTCTGTGGTAAGATTGCCTTTTTATATCCCACCATATTTTTAAAAGAATTTGTTGGCTAATAAAGATATATTCAGTGTTTACCTTTCTACATAAGGTTAAAAAAATAAATGAAAAATTGGAAGAAAAGAAAAATGAGAATCTGATCACTATGGTATGATTAGAATGCAGAATTTGTGCCAAAGAAAGTTTCAACTCTTTGTCTCTGAGCTTCCTACCAAAAGGGGGATACACACAATCAATTCTGTGGTCCATAGGATCAAAACAAACCAGGGCTCAGGACAAGTTCAGTAAAGAAATCCTTATTGTAGAAAACCTTGCCTTCAACCATATCTCTAAAGCGAATACCGTAATGAATCTAGTGGGACTGGTACAATGTCCCTCCATCTAGAGTGAGGTATCGTGTCAAAGTACATTTCAGGAAAGGTAGTTCTATGAGGGGCCAGATTGAAATGATTCAGGTGTGTCGCCTTCTCATGTTCTGACTTAAACCAAGAGTAGCTACAGTAATGTTTTCTATTCTGCAGTCAGTTTAAGAACTTTGTGATTTTGCCATTGTTGTGCACCATGTGTAATATTATTTACCTAATACTTTAATTTAAATTTTCTTGCCTGTTTCAACTCACCCTAGGTTTGAGATATGTTTGTTTAATAAGGCTTGTTATTGGGAACTTTTCTGTATTTTGCTCTTGAATGTAAAGAACATCCACTTAAGATTTTGGGTTTTTAGAGCCTCATTTGAAGTGGATGTTGATATCTTACAGCCTGTACATGTGAGCTACCTTCAACTTGAACCTGGGGTGAGATAATATAAATATATTTTATTTCTGGTTATAGTCTCCTAGTCAGTACAGCGATCAGGAGTTTTCTGCCTTTTGGGAGAATATATGTTCACCAAGTAAAATTTCCTTAAATACTGTGAAACAAGGGATATTTGTTTTATAAGCTATAAAGGAGAAGAGCCCAGGTAGTTTAAGTACATTAATGGATTATTTGGCAGCCTTGGAGTAGAAATCCTGTCTTCTGACCTTTGGTATGTTGCTTCCCTGCCTGGTTGTCTTTGTTTACTCCCCTGAGTTACTTCTCTGTGTCTGTTTACATACCTGCCACTAACATCCCCGAAATGTGCCTTCTCTTTACTCGTTTCAGAGCTCAAGCATTGACTTTCTAGCAAGCCAAGGATTTGATTTTAATAAAGTTTTTCGCAATGGTAAGGTTATGTGTGACTTATCCTTAGAGCTTGTAAATCTGGATTTGGCTGAGAATTATCTTTTTGTGCCTGCTATCTGAGATAGGATCTTGGATTTCCAGTACATCATGTGCAGCCTTAGAGTTTTTAATAACTCTTTTATTGTGCCTTTTTTTTTTTTTAAGCCTAGTCAACCATGAACTGAACAGGAGAGTAGATGCTACTCCATTTAGCTGTAATGAGGCCTCTCAGACTCCTGATTTTATTGAGTGGAGTTTATTCTACCACTGACGTGGCTTAGTCGCCTAACAGACCACCCGTGGGGAGCGCTTCCCTGTTTTCCTTCAGTGAGACAAGTGGTCTGGTATAGTACATTAAAAAGTGGCCATATTCTAGTAACGCTGTAATGCAAAACTCCCTTTTCCAATTGGCATTTGTTTTATAATTGGAGATGGTTTCTCATGGGAGGAAAAAAGTCTCCATAGACTGCACAGTCATGATGGCTACCTTGCTGGTGTGATGGGCTGGTGAGCATCCTGAGGAAAGAGACTGTGTCTCATTCCATATCTCCAGGGCATAGCGTGGTACTGTGTTAGGGAGATGACCATCAAATATTCAGTGAGTGAGTACTGGACGTTAGAGCACACCAGAGTGGTTTTGCTTCCTCCATTCATTTATTTTCCGAAAAGTGTTTGGGAAAGCCTCTGGTTTCCCAGCAGTAGTCAGCGCCTTCTGCCATAAGGTCAATAACTACTTTTAATTTAATTATTCTCGTATTCTTTTCCATAGTAAATGTGTAATTATTAAGTGAGTTAAGGAAGGAGATTTTTCTCAACAAAAGTACTACAACATAGACTTCAAATAAATTCACTTCCCCCCAGCATGATCTAGCGAGGCCTTTAGAACGCATGCCGTATTGTTTTTTTAATTGCTTCAGTGGTGCTGCATCTTAATTTCTGTTGATGCTTTTGTTTTTTGGAAATACTAAAAAAAGTTTTGGAGCCAAAACTGCTTAACATAGTGGGTGAGCCAGCTGGGTAACACAATTGAGGTGTTATATAATAGTTTTTTCCTTTGGCTCATACTTGACTCTGAAAGCCATTATAGAATACAAGTTCCAAATGGAGTTAGAGCACTATATTGGAATAAGTACAAAAATATTTTGAAGGAACTACTTGCTTTATTGTTTATTATGTTATTTGTTTCGTTTACTGGTTATTATGTTTATTTATTATCATTGTTTTATAGTCAGACCTTGGAATATTTTAGTCACAACTGATCAGGACTCCTAGGCCATCTACTTTTACTAAGACTCTTATCCTCACTCTGTTGTTGATGCTATCTAAATCTGATCTAGACTTTCACTTCTCTTCCTTATCAAATCTTGCCACTCTGGCTCCCTGAATGCCAGACCCTTTCCCGGCAGTCTTTTTGGAAGTGCCTTTGACTTCCTTGTCTGAAATGGAGCCCTGTGACTCCTCTTGTTACCGTTCCCCCTGCAACCCTCTCTAACACAGGTAGATTTACCTCTCTTTGTATATCTCCAGCCAGGCACTGGTAGATAACCTTGTTCCTCATGCCACTTTCAAACCACTTGAATTCCCTCTTCTCAGGAGCCACAGTTCTTCTCAGGGCTGTCGCCTAGCTGTGCCATCCCTCTTTGTGCTGACTTCATGGGCTTGGCATTCACCAACAACCTTGGCTTGGCTCATTCTCTTTCTCCCCACTCTACCTCTCTCCTCATTCTGGGTGACTTCAGCATCCACAGGGATGACCAGCATATGCTCTGTCTTATCTGCTCCTTGACCACGTGGTCAGCAGTCTTGGCTTCTACCTCTCCTCAGCCATCTCCTCCCATGGTAGCATCATGGGTCTTGTCACCAGTAACTGCACCCACCTCCAACATTTCTCATTGAGAGCATTACCTCTTGTCCCTCTCATTCACGTACTCTAGTGCCTCATTTGAGCAATCTGTTGACCTCCATTGCTTTTTCACTAGTGGTTACCTTGTGCCCTCCTGTCTTGACTTCCTTCCTTATCCACATGGTCCATCATTATCCTTTCTTTTACCTCTCTCCCTGCATTGCACTTGCCTAGCAAAGTCCCAACCCTGGTTGGATTGGACCATCCACCTTCTCGGTTTTTGAGCATCCTCCGAATATTGCTGGAAGACATGACACACCTGAGCTAATTTGTCACTTCAAATTCATCACCACGAGCTTCAAATAAGCACTTAGTCGTACTCAAAAATCCTGCATTTCTGACTTAGAAATTCCCTTTCCAACTATCTAAGATGTCTGCTTTTAACCACCTCTTTCTCCAAACCTCCCGCCCCAGCTGATGACCATGCCTCTCAATGAAAATAGAAGCCATCAGAGAAGAGCCACTTCCTGTTCTCACCACCAGATCCACAGACCTCCCCCCAGTCTGGACCCAGCCTTTTTGCTTCTCTCCCTTGCAGTGAAGAGGAATCCCTGCACCTGTCAAAGGCTAGTCCCTGTCTCTCTGTCAGCACTGGCTCCTCCAGTTACCCTTCTCTCCTGAATTATTTTATTTTCCCTTCTCTACTGGGTCATTCCCGTCAGCCTTTGTAAACGTGCTTCAAGTACAGAGCTTTGTAATCTAGTCCATGCTTTCCTCCCGCCATTGATAGAGTCTGAACTTGGCGGTGGGGGGAGCTCATGTCTGTATTTTTTCCTGGCCTTGAACTGAATTTGGTAGTTTCTTACATTATGAATGTAGCAACAACCCCAGCAGTGTTAGCAGGATCTGGAAGTTTGTCATCAGTGAAATCTCAGGTATCTTCAAATGGCATTTGAATTGTTACAGATATCTTGAATATTATTTACATTTGTCAGTACTTTGAAATTATCATAGTTATTTCATCTGCCACTGGATCTTGTTATTTAATGTGTTGATTAAGAAGCTGATATACTGTATTGCTATATCACAGATTAAAAAAAATGTTTTGGTAACTATTTCCATATAATTACCTTCTTTTATAATCTTGTATACTTTATTTTATGCATTTAAAAACATTATTCTGAGGAAGGGTCTGTAGTCGTTTTTTGTGTGTGTGAGGAAGATCAGCCCTGAGCTAACATCCGATGCCAATCCTCCTCGTTTTTTTTTTGCTGAGTAGGATTGGCCCTGAGCTAACATCCGTGCCCATCTTCCTCTACTTTATATGGGACGCCGCCACAGCATGGGTTGACAGGCAGTGCGTTGGTATGTGCCCAGGATCCGAACCTGCGAACCCCGGGCTGTCAAAGAGGAGTGCACGCACTTAACTGCTTGCGCCACCGGGCCGGACCCTGGGGTCTGTAGTCTTTAGCAGACCGCCAAAGGGATCAGTGGCACATGAAGGTTAAGCACGCCTGCAGGAATATCTCAGTCTTAAAATAACCCAAACCAAACCCCCTCACTTGTTTCCACTTTCCCTTCCTGGCCTGTGATGCTCCCACTCAGAGCAAAGCATCTTGAACAAGTTGTATGCTCTCCCTGTTCCTCCTTCTCCTCCACTGTTTTCTTCATCCTCTTCAGCTGGGCTTCCTTCTGCATCCTTCCACTGACACTTCTGGTTGGCCTGCCACGATCTCAAATCCAGTGACTCCCTCTTTGTCCTCATCTAATTCTACCTTTTGGTAGAATTTGACCCAGTTAATTACTCCCTCCTGCCCTAGATGCTCGCCTCCTGGCTTCCGGAACAGTGCATTCCCTGGTTTTCCTCCAGAATCCTTAGTGTCCTGATTGGCTCTTTCTCATCTTGCCTCTTTCTAAATATTACTTTTCCTAGTTGGTCTCATATATTCCATGGCTTTACTTTTTTTTTTTTGTAGGAGGAAGATTAGCCCTGAGCTAACATCCGTTGCCAATCCTCCTCTTTCTGCTGAAGAAGATTGGCCCTGGGCTAACATCCATGCCCATCTTCCTCTGTTTTATGTGGGACGCCGCCACAGCATGGCTTGATAAGTGGTGCGTAGGTCCACACCCAGGATCCAAACCTGTGAACCCCGGGGCACCAAAGTGGAGCGTGCAAACTTAACCACTACGCCACTGGGCTGGCCCTTTACTTTTTTTTATTATTAGATTATTAGAATTCCTATTTTTATTATTAGATTATTAGAATTCCTATACCTTCTCTCTCATTCCCCAAATGTTAGCATTGTACTATTTGCTTTGTCATCCTTTCTCTCTTTATATATGTCTATATATAATTTTTTTCCTAAACCATTTTAGAGTAAGTTGCAGACATGATGTTCCCCCTAGCTACTTCAGTGTATATTTCCTAAAAATGAGGACATTCTCTCACATAGCCACAGTACAGCAATCCAGTTAGGAAATTGACATTGCTGCATTGCTCACGTAGTTGTCATATCTTTCTCTTTTTAAATCCAGAACAGCTTCTTGGTTTGTCTTTGATCTTAATACCTTGACTTTTTTTTTTTTAATAATTTAATTTATTTATTTTTTTCCTCCAAAGCCCCAGTAGATAGTTGTACATCATAGTTTCACATCCTTCTAGTTGCTGTATGTGGGACGCAGCCTCAGCATGGCTGGAGAAGCGGTGCGTTGGTGCGCGCCCGGGATCCGCACTCGGGCCGCCAGCAGCGGAGCACGCGCACTTAACCGCTAAGCCACGGGGCCGGCCCAACCTTGACGTTTTTGAATAGTGTAGGCTAGTTATTTTACAGAATGCCCCTCAATTTGGACTTGTCTGATGTTTCCTCAGTCAAGTCCAAATGCATTTATTTTTTTTTGCCAGGAATACTACAGAAGTGAGTGTGTGTGTGCTTCTCAGGGCATCATATCAGGAGGCACATGATGTGGATTTGTGCCGTTATGGTGATATTCACCTTTCTTATAATTGTGGAAAAATACACATAAAATTTATCTTAACCATGTTAAAGTATACAGTTCAGTAGTGTTAAGTACATTGATATTGTGAGCCGTTGGTGTTGTTAGCTTTGATCACTTTTTTCACCAGTTAGTTTTAGCGTCCATTGATGATTCTTCTTGAAACAATTGTTGGCAAATGGTGATTTTCTAATTCCCTTGTTCTTTCTACAAAGTTCATTAATGTCCCACGGCTTTTGATACCTAAATTTATATCTCAACACCTTTCTCCTATACTGTAGACTTATATCTTCAGTTATTAATTTAAATATACCCTTAGATGATTTAATATGTCCAGGAAGGAGTTTTTGATTTTTATCCTTGGAACCCCAAACCTATTCTTTGCCTAGTTTTCCCTACCTAAGTTAAGAGGCCTTACCGTCTTCTCAATTGCTTACACCTAACAGTGTCATTTTATATTTTGCCCTTCCCTTTAGCCCTCACCTCCAGTATATCAGCAAGTTCTATCTCTCCTGTTTCTAAAATCATTCTCTCCATCTCTGTAGTCTAAGCCAGGGTCACAAACTATGGCCTGCTGCCTGTTTTGTAAATGAGGTTTTATTGGGACACAGCCAAGCCCATTCAGTTACTCATTGTGTAGTACTCTTTTCATGCTACAAGAGCACAGCTGAGTAGTTGCAATGGAGACCCCATATGGCCCACAAGCCTAAAACATTTACTCTTTGTCCCTTTAAGGAAAAGTTTGTTGACCTCTGATCTAAGTGATCGTCTCTTGCCTGAGTGATTGTAGTGGCCAGTTGCTTCTAGCTGACCTCCCTACTTCAATTCTCATAGGTGTCAAAATGATCTTTTAAAAAACATGAAGCAGATAATGTAATTATCTTGCATAAATCTAATGGCATCCCATTGCTCTTAGAATAAAATACATTCTTACTGTGGTCTCTGTGGGCCTGCACAATCTTGTTCCATCCTCTCTCTAATCTGACCTCATGCTGTTCTCCTGCTCACTATGTTCTGACCATACCAGCTTCCTTGCTGTTTTTGGAGCAGTCCAAGCCATTTCCATCCTCTAGGCATTTCTACTTATTCCCCTGCCTGAAATGCTCTTCCCCTAGCTCTTTGCATGTCCGATTCATTCTTATCCTTCGGGTCTTCCCTCACAGTGGCCGTCTCTGATCATCCTGTGTAAAGTCATTCCCTCACTACAGAGCAGGATGCGTCTACTTTGTTCACTGTGAAATTCCCCAGTGCCTAATACAGTGCGTGGCACAGCATACATGCCAAATAAAAATATGTTGAAAGAAGAATGAATGGAGTGTGTGAATAGACAAACATATTTCAAAATCATTTGCTTTTTCTGTTGACTTTTTGAGATATAGTTAAATATAGTAAATCTTTCTTGAGTGTTTTAGACTCTTTGTTAAAAAATTTTTATGTTAAGCAGTTACTTCTTCTAATGCATTCTTTTAAAAACTGTTTAGGAATTCCATATTTAAATCAGGAAGAAGAAAGACAGTTAAGAGAGCAGTATGATGAAAAACGTTTACAGTCCAATGGTGCAGGAGCTCTATCGTATGTATCTCCTAATGCTTCAAAATGTCCCATAACAATTCCTGAGGATCAGAAGAAGTTTATTGACCAAGTCGTGTAAGTTCCTAAACTGAAACCAAATGTACATTGAGTAATGTGTATTGGGCAGGACCGACATCTGTATCTGAAACTTGGGCTACCCATACAGAGTACACACAGAGGAGTGATGTTGTGAGTGGCAGGATTTAGTTGTGGCATATCTGAATTTGTGTAAAAACAGCACATTGTAAATAGAATTCTGTGTACTGTATTTAGACTTGTCACATGTCGCTAGGCAGGAGACTGTCTCAGCAAGTGGGTAGACCTGCACGGACCAAGGGCCTGACAGCCACTGTCCAGTTTCCCTAAGAGGAGCGAAACAGGCCCATCCAGATATTTGCAACATGCCCACATGTTTTTCTATCACAGTGAAGTTTCTGACAAGCAAACGTGCCACTGGAGGAGTGTCTGTCTTGTCTTGTTTAGTTTACTTGTCTGTATAACTGCTTTATTAGAAAAGTAAAAATTTAAATCACTGGTATTGATGAATTCTTGAGAAGTTGTCACTAACTCTTATAAATAACAAGAACAAAAAGAATATGCCAAAATAAAGTATTTTTCTACTGAACTAAAAAGTTATAACGTGATTTGATAAAATTACGTTGTCATATGTTCTTATATTTAGATGGCTTTTGGGTATGGTTATTCTGTTGGTTGATGACTTCATTCCTTAAGGGTATTGATGGTCATGTATTTATTTTAATTCCTCAGAGAGAAAATAGAAGATTTATTACAAAGTGAAGAAGACAAGAACTTGGATTTAGAGCCATGTACTGGGTTAGTTGCCCTGAATATTTTCACATGTTCTTTTTTTGGAAGGGTAGATCATTTCTGGCGTGCATTTGGTCTTTTAAAAACACGTTCATAAATAGTCTTTTTATTATAGATAGATTCCCAAGACTTAAGCACTAACCTCAGCATTAACACAGTGGAGACGATGGTATATTGAGATGCTGAATGAATGCTGTGTCTCCTCCTGGAGGGGAGAAAACTTGCGCAGCTTTGGCTTTAAGTTATACTCAACAGTGGCGTAGTTATTTTAGCCTCGAGGAGTGCTTATTACACAAAGGCTCTAGAAGAGAAGAATTCCCTGTCAGGCTACTTCTATCCTTTTAATTTCTCTCTGCAGTAAAAAACATCAGTGTTTCAAAGAGTCAGTAACTCAAACATCCTATTTTCCTTTAACTGTGACTAGCTTCACAAAAGTGTTTTAATGCATCTGTCTGCTTTAAACTCCTGTTATACAGCCACAGGTAGTAATACTTTGGTTAGACAAGAACCTCTTCTGTAAAGGCAATATAATAATATTAAAGAACATTTTAATGAAGATGAGTGATGAGGAATCCTTCCACCTCAAACATCCTGCCTGTTTTTTGTTTGCTATTACCTGTCACTTCTAATGAAATCTCTTTTAAAAATTAGATGTCTTTCCCAAACAGTGCTTAGTCAGTTTGAATTTTCTTTTAATGAGCCCAAATCAATAACTTTTCTTTTGTTTTTATAGGTTCCAAAGAAAACTAATTTATCAGACCTTGAGCTGGAAGTAAGTGTTGTTTATATTATATGTGAGAGCTCTGTGAGGGACCCAGGATGTAAAAACTAAATATGATCTCCTAGCTCTCATTTCATTTTTGAAATTCTGCAGTTTTTGGGATCTGACCCTACCACCTTCTTGGGCAGTGCTTTATTTTGTTATTTGCTCCTACTTTCTTAAGTTGAGTGCCCACTTAATTTATTTTCTTTGTTATTGCTTCTTAGTTGATGCTTTAAAGCCTTTAAATTTTCTTTTCCTTAGCTCTTTGGCGTTATTGATTAAGTTTTAGATGAGTGGTGGTTTTGTTCTTTGAAGGTATGCGATAAAGATTTGGTTTTAAGACCTAGAAATATTCAGATGAATCCTTGTTCTAAAGCAGGGGTTAGACCATGGATGGGCTTCAGGAGGTCTGTGAATCCCCTGAAATAATATCCAAAATTTTATGCATGCTGGAGGGGTTTCCATTGGTTTCATTGTATTTTCAAGTGATCTCTAACCCAAAAATTGAACATGAGTATTGGACAGATGGATGTTTGCATTTGACTTTGGGGTTCTTGTTCTTTCTTTAGAGCCTGCCATTGACTTGTATACTGGGAATTTACTCTGAACAAAACAGGAAAAGAGCCATTGTCCTTTGACCAGGCTGCTTTCCTGTTATATTATCTTTGCAACGTACTCCATGTGGGTTCCAGATTCCTCTCCTTGGCTGATACAAACTACCTTGCCAAACTACAGCAGACTTCCCCTGTGTATGCCCCATACCATCTAAAAAGACTTTCAAAATTTCACTTAGGAAGTAAGCATTATTATATTTGGAAGCAAGATTTGACTGTCTGGTAATGAGTTGAGTGTATTACATGATGCATGACATTTCAGAAAATGCCTAAGTCCTAAAAAAATTAATCTGAAGTCAGATACATTCTTTTGTTTTAAGAACAGAGATAGAGAAACATTTAGCAGCTGAAATATTATGGAATAAGCTTACTATAAAGTATTCATTGTAGTAACGTTTATTTCATATTTAATAAAACTTATTTAATTAAATTATGGCCATATAGTTGCTTTTAAAATACTTAGGGTTTTAACTGTCATTGTCTAATCTACTGATGTCATATTTTCTTTCTTTTCTTTAGGTACCCCAAAGGCATTCATGTTGAGACTTTAGAAACTGAAAAGGTAACCCCAGGAATTACCTAGTGCCAACATTAAGCACATGCAATGATACATTGACATGTTGAAAGTCAGAGTTTACTCCTTGGCTCTGCTACCTATGAGCTGGGTGACTTTGGGCGAGTCATTTCACCTCACTGAACTTCATTTTTCTCATTTGTACATTGGGGGTGAGCACGATAATGATGATCTATATCTATCTCACAACTTTTTTTATGGTGATCAAGTGGGTAAACGCAAGTGAACATGCTTTCTAAACTTGAAAGTATGCAGATGTTAGTACATGTTCTTATGATGGCAGAAAGCTGTAATGATATGCATGAAAAATGGCTTTCTGTTATGTGGGCAAATAAAATTAAATTTCAGAATCTGGGGCATAAGCCTAAGCATAGCTATTGTCATATATGCCCAAGGTGTGCTGGTAGGACTGATGCGTAGTGGCGGGCTCATGTGGGTTCCTTTTGCAGGATTTTAGAATTTTAGAATTTAATTGTTGCTCTTAAGTCAGATGTCAAATTAAATAAGAGATTAAGAAAATTAGGGGCCCGCCCTGTGGCTTAGCAGTTAACTGTGCGTGCTCCACTACTGGCAGCCCAGGTTCAGATCCCAGGTGCGCACCAACGCAGTGCTTGTTGGGCCATGCTGAGGCGGCGTCCCACATACAGCAGCTAGAAGGGTGTGCAGCTATAACATACAACTATCTACTGGGCTTTGGGGAAAAAAAGGAGGGGGATTGGCAATAGGTGTTAGCTCAGGGCCAGTCTTCCTCAGCAAAAAGAGGAGGATTGGCACAGATGTTAGCTCACGGCTGATCTTTCTCACAAAAAAAAAAAGAAAATTAAAAAATCTTGCTGAAGATAAATCTCAAACTTTGACATAGGAGGTTTTGTGGTGTGTTTAATTGATACAAAATGCAGTATATGCCAAAGAAGGTGCTATAGTTGCCTGACAAGTTACCAGAAAAATCCAGGAATTTTTTCTTATGCTAATGAAATATGATACAGAAATTTTATTTCAAAACCAGCTACTTAGAAATTCATTTTCAAATGCAGTGTAACATCTTAGTGTTTATCATGGAAAGTGTTGTATTCTCGTAGTCTGTTGATACTTTTAACTGAGTCTGTTGGGGTGAATTAATAAACCATGGGAAAATGTTATGGAATCAGAGGCAGAATTTTGTTTGTAATGCATCCACTCAATTTTTGGTGGCTTTTCAAAATACTTTGTGTGTTTAGCCCATGAAAGACTGCAGTGATAAAAATTATAACTTCTAATGGTAGCAGAATCTAAATTTTGGGGGGTCAAGTTGCTTCCAGAAAATTGTACATCTGCTTTATGTCTTTTAGAAAGAGCGATATATTGTTATCAGCAAAGTAGATGAAGAAGAACGCAGAAGAAGAGAACAGGAGAAACACGCTAAAGAACAGGTAATTGAGTTATGTTCGTTTCCTTTGGGTGAGAAATGGCGACAGAGATACTGATTTATTACTTTCTGTGTATTTGTAGATCATATGTTGGATTCAATTTAATGAATAGTTTTCTACCATAGAAGAATTGAATTGATAGAAAACTCTAGAATAGAATGAGGGGGACTTAAAGTTAAGTATTTAGACAAAGCCAACACAGTGAGACTGACATCATGGTTGACCAGTCTTCACTTATGTAAAAGCAGCCTTATAGAAAGTCGTCTTGATTATCATTCAGAGCGTGTGTCACTGAGCTTCACTGCCCGTTAACTAATATCTCTGTGTCTAACTTCAGGTACAGTTACTAGTTTTCCTAAAACAAAATTTAGAACATAGGATTTGACAGATTAGGATGTCGTGGTCATATTTGCATTGTTGGAACATCACCCTGGTTGCTGTCTAGAGAATGGATTCGAGTGAGTAAGACTGGAGGCAGGGAGACCAGGTAAGTTGTGGAGTAACCTAGCTAAGAGATGTCGGTGACCTGGAATAGGATAGTTAGTAGCAGTTTAGGTGGAATCTGGAGATTCTTAGAAGGTAGAATCAATGGAATTTGTGATTGGATGTGGGTGGTGAAAGAGGAAGGGAGGCGAAGGAAGGTGCTCCAGCCAGAAATTTGAGCAACTGAGTAGACTGAGATCAGTTCACTTAAATGGGATGGACTGGAGTGGTATTAATGGGGAGACACAGACAGAGGAGGCCAGGAGTGGGTTTGGGTGTGAGTGGATGTCAAGCTCACACATATATAAGGCAGGGCCATATCTGACTGATTCAGCCAGTAAAGACACCATAAGCCACTGTTAGATTTAGGCAATTTCCTACTTATATAGAGACGGACAGTCAGCCGAAGGTGCCAACTGCATGTGATCCTCGTCCCACACACCAAATAGACAACACTGAAACAAAAGGGACCAGGTGACTTGCAGCGTGAGTTGTGGATCCCCCATTACCGAGGAGCCAGCTCTAGACTGCAGCTAAGGGCTTTTATATTCTGTAGCTCTATTCTGAAAGGTGTGGGGCAGAAAGCCCTCTGCCTCATCAGAACCTGGGAGGTGGTGAGAAACTGTCTCCTGACAGCATCCCAGAAGACAGAGGGAGGCGAGTGGGAGGTGGCCTTGGAACAGCTCCTTACAAGCCTCTGTCACTCCTCCTCTCCTCCTGAGGTGTTCCACTGAGACGCAGGTTCATTGCAGCTCATGCCTTTGCCTGCATGGCCTATTTGAATGTGTGCAGGGTCACCAGGGCACTGTGGCAGAGCTGTCCCCTTACAGTGGAAAAAGATGTTACGTTCTCTTTTTGTCCCAGTGAGGTTTTAGTTGTCCTTGGGACATCCAAGGGTAGGTGTCCTGTAGTCAGATTTGTCATTCTGGAGTGCAGGAGAGAGGTGAGGGCTAGAATTGGTTGTCGTTGGCAGAGAGACTGGGACTGGATTAGAGCACCTACAGCTTGCATGAGGAATGAGTAAAGAGGGCCTAGGGTAGGACCCTGAAGACCACCAGCATTTAAATAATAGAAGTAGAAAAATGTGCCAGGAGATTATTATGACACGGCAGCCAAGGGAAGAGAGTATTTGAAGAAGGGGATGTCAACAGTGTCTGATACTTTAGAGAAGTAAGAATAAGGAATGAGATGTGGCCATTGGGTTTAGCCTTGGGAGTAGTTTTTCTTTCTTTCTTTCTTTTTTTTTAATATTCTTTCAATTTTTAAAAATTTTTAATTGTGGTAAAATACACAACATAAGTTTACCATCTTAACTATTTTTAAGTGCGCAGTTTTGTAGTGTTAAATACGTTCACATTGTTGTGCAACCATCACCACCATCCATCTCCAGAACTCTTTTCATCTTGCAAAACTGAAACTCTTTACCCGTTAAATAACAACTCACCATTCCCCCTTCCCCCCAGCCCCTGGTAACCACCATTCTACTTCTGTCTATGAATTTAACTACTTTAGATACCTCATATAAGTGGAATCATACAGTATTTGTCATTTTGTGACTGGCTTTTTTCACTTAGCGTAATGTCCTCAAAGTTCATCCATATTGTAGCAGGTGTCAGAATTTCCTTCCTTTCTAAGCTAAATAATATCCCATTGTGTGGATATACCACATTTTCTTTTCTCTCTCTCTTTTTTTTTTTTTTGAGGAAGATTGGCCTTGAGCTAACATCTGTTGCCAATCTCCCTCTTTTTCTTTTTCCTCCCCAAAGCCCCAGTACATAGTTGTCTATCTCAGTTGTAGGTCCTTCTAGTTCTTCTCTGTGGGACACCACCTCAGCATGGCTTGATGAGCGGTGAGTAGGTCTGTGCCCAGGATCCAAACCAGCAAACCTCAGGCCACCGAAGCAGAATGTGCGAACTTAACCGCTGCACCGCTGGGCTGGCCCTACCACATTTTCTTTATCCATTCATCTCGTGATGGATGCTTGCATTGATTGCTTTTACCTTTTGGTTCGTGCGAATAGTGCTGCTAATGAACATAGGTGTACAAGTAGCTCTTTGAGTCCTTACTTTCAATTCTTTTAGGTATATACCCAGAAGTGGAATTGCTGGGTCATATGGAAATTCTGTTTAATTTTTTGAAGAACCACGATACTGTTTTTCATAGCGACTATACCAGTTTACGTTCCCACCGACAGGGCACAAGTGTTCCAATTTCTCCACATCCCCGCCAACACTTGTTAGCCTTGGGAGTAGTTTAAAGAGGTGAGCAGTTTCAGTGAGGGTGAAGCCCGAGAGCAGAGGGCTGCAAGTACCTAGGAGTTAAACGAGAGCCAGTAAGTGGAGAGAAGTCTTGTAAGTCATTTAGCTGTGAAGAGACAAGAAGGGGCCGTAGTTACATGGAGCTTAGAATTAAGGAAGGGGTTTCAAGGTAGGAGACAAATGAGCCTATTTAAACACTGTTGGGAAGAAAATGGGAGAGAAGAAACAGTGAGGGTGAGTCTCAGAGTGCTGTGCTATAAAAATTTTGTAAAACTGTTTGACACAGAAAGAAATCAGGAATTCTGAGAATACTTGATTTGATCAGTCATTTGCTGGGTGGGTTTCCTTAGAATTTAACGCAGTATTGAATTTTGCCAGCAGGTGGCAGCTTTTAAAAGTTTGTGTTTTTAAGACAGTTTGATAGACTTGGAAATTTCAACAAATGATGTGAAGTGATAGGTAGACCCTAAGCACTGTTATTTTAGTAACTAATGAATAATTTGCCACTTGCTCATTCCACTTTTTAAAACAGAAGAAACGGATGTACGTAGATCATTTCAGATGGTGGTGTTTGGGGTGATAGACACAAAGCATGTGAAACTAAAGCTATCTAACTTGATATAACATTTCAGTGCTTTTCTTTTTTTGCTAGGCTTTAGCCCATTCCAGTAAGGAATATATGTATGTCAGTAGTTTTTTTGCTTGTTTCTTTAAATTAGGAAGAACTGAATGATGCTGTGGGATTTTCTAGAGTCATTCATGCCATTGCTAATTCGGTAAGTAAACCAGACTTTTTCTTGCTTGTTTGGATATGATTGCTGAATTATATCCAAACCATTTTTCAGAAAGCTTTTCTTGTAAAATGCATAGGAGGATTATACTATAATGTCCTTATATGGCTACATGAAACTAGTGTTTATTATTCTCAAAGACAGTAAGAAGTAGAATAAGAAAGTAAGGAATATGAGGAGAAACAATCGGGTGTTTGACTGAAGACATTTTGTTCCTTCATTAGAATAATCTAGAGGATAAAAATAATTGTCTGTGTTCAGTTCTTCTGCATAACTGTAATTGAATCTTATGTCTGATAGCCTTAATAATTGATAAGTTTTAAAAATGTGCTGACCATTTGTGTAATTGTGCTAGAGGGTTGTGTGAGAGGTATGATAGGCATTTTCCTTGTTTTGTAAGGCCTTTCGGAAAAGAGGGATCCACATCTTGCATAGATAAACTGGGTCATGCTGCTAGTTGTTTTTCAAATTACACATCCAAGTCAGACTGCTTGCTTGGATGCTAACTTTGCTGGAGTCTAAGACTTTCTTTTCCTTGAGTAGTTGGCTGTGAGAGAAGGAATCCTCCTCCTGGAGAGGAATCGTCTTGTCCCTCCTTTGCGTCAGGAAAGCTTTAAGGCTGTGGAGACCCTCTCAGAGTTCCGTGGCTGTCTCACTACCAGGGGCAGGCTTGTCAGAACAGGACACTTGAGGGGAGGCACACCACCGTCCTCAACTGGAGACAACAGAAGTTACAGAGCCTTGTAAAAGAAGAGGGCTGGCTCACTAGGAGCTCTTTCTCTCAAGTAAGCGGGGTAATCAGAACGGAATAGCAAGTTAGATGAGCCTGGAGAGAAACAAAGAAGTGACTAAGATAACAGGTATCCAGGAAAGCAGAGAGGAGTTTCTGGTCACGTCTGCTTTCATTGTCCACACTCACCCAGCAGGCTTCAGATGAGTGGTTGATTTGACTGAGGCTGGCACCACAATACAGAGATGTGGGCATGACTTGGCTTTGAGCTCTCTGATAGCCATCATGACAGTTTAGTTTGCTTTTCCAGGATTGGGACATTTGTTTGCCTTCTACAGATTCAGATGCCTTAGCTTGCTGTGCCTCTGCTTGTGATTCCTCTCGGTTGTCTTTCTTCTACAGAATAATTCATAGTCTGTCGCTGACCATTGGTAGTGAACATCACAAAGCATACTACGAGAAAAAGCCCTATTTATTAGTGATCCAGACATTTCAAATTGAGGATTCACATACCTTAAAAAAATAGTAACATAGTTAAGCTCTGTCTGTACAGCCAGTGAACAGTAAACACTCTGAAATATTTATATCACAGCCACATATATTCTTTTCCTGTCACTCTTTGTAGTAAATGTATGTTTTCTGTAGTTTCATACAAGTTTTCATTTTGTACTAATTTTACACTCACAGAAAAGTCGTAAAAATAGTAGAGCTTCCATATATCCCTCACCCAGCTACCCCTAAGGTCAGTATCTTACATAACCACACAGTTGTCAGAGCCAGGAAATTAACATTGGTGCAATATTATGAACTAAACTGTAGACCTTATTGGAATTTCACCAGTTTTTCCACTAAGTCCTTTTTCTGTTCACAATTCTCTCTGGGATCCCACATTGCACTTACTTGTTATTTCTCCTTAGTCTTCTGCAGTCTGTAACAGTCTTTCATTGTCTTTTATTTTTTATTTTATTTATTTTTTATTTTTTGTGAGGAAGATTGGCCCTGAGCTAACATCTGATGCCAATCCTCCTCTTTTTGCTGAGGAGGACTGGCCCTGGGCTAACATCTGTGCCCATCTTCCTCCACTTTATATGGGACGCCGCCACAGCATGGCTTGACAAGCGATGCGTCGGTGTGCGCCCGGGATCCGAACCAGCGAACCCCGGGCCGCCGCAGCGGAGCATGCACACTTAACCGCTTGCGCCACTGGGCTGGCCCCTCATTGTCTTTTATAACCTTGATATTTTTAAAAAGTATTGATTATAATTTTGTCAAATGTCCCTCAGTTTCGATTTGTCTGATCTTTTCTCATGATTGGATTGAGGATATATAGTTTTGGCAAGAACACCATAGGTGTTGACCTTGGCCACTTGGTTAATGTGGTGTCTGCTGGATTTGTGCACTATAAAGTTACTATTTTTCCCTTTATGGTTAATAAATATCTTGGGGGGCTGGCGTGGTGGCGTAGCAGTTAAGTTTGTCTGCCCCCACTTTGGCAGCCTGGGGTTTGCAGGTTCAGATCCCGGGCATGGACTGATGCACCACTTGTCAAGCCATGCCGTGGCAGCGTCCCATATAAAGTAGAGGAAGATGGGCACAAGATGTTAGCCCAGGGCCAGTCTTCCTCAGCTAAAAGAGGAGGATTGGCATGGATGTTAGCTCAGGGCTAATCTTCCTCAATAAATAAATAAATAGGTAAATAGATAGATAGATATTTATATATATATATATCTTGAAAGTATGAGTATATATCTTGGAAGAGATACTTTGAGACTATGAAAATCCTATTTTCCTCAAACCTTTGCCCACGAATACAGCATCTATTGGTGGATCTTGCCTGCCGCCATTATTACTGTGGCGTTCTGATGGCGCGTTTGATTCCCTCTTTCTTTCTACATCCGTTCTTGGAATTCTTCTATAAGGAAGAGCTGTCCCTTCTCCCCTGTTTATGTAATCATTTTCTAATGTAGCTGAGTATGGACTCAGGGACATTTATTTTATTCTACAGATTATAATCTAGTATTGTTTATTTTGTTGCTCACATTGCACCACCTTTGGTGGTTGGAGCTTCTTCAGTTTGGCTCCTGTGTCCTTTGAACAAGTCCCCAGCCTTTTGTGAGCAACTCCTTATTTTCCTGCAACGCAAGGTGTTCCAGACTCATCTTGTATTTTCCCTGCCTCAGCTCTAGAGTGGACAGAGCTGAGAATGATGCATGTGTATAACCATGCATATAGTATACACACATTTCTGTGTCTGTCTGTCATATATATATATAAAACCATGCCTTTATACTGATAGCTCAGATTCCAGTTCAATACCACAGGGTGTATTTCAGTCTCCTCTCTTTTCTTATTCGTAACTTCTTTCTCCAGCAGTGGGAAATCCAGTTCTTATGATTTGCATTATATGTACTTGTTTAAATCTTTTATACATGTAAAGAAGTTTCAGAATTACTACCCCTGCCCTGTGAGCAGTGCATTTAGTGACTAGTCTATAGCATTTATGTGCAGCTCTTTTTGTCTTTAGCCTTACACTATCTAGTCAAGATGCTGATTTCATAGTTCTTTTCTTCCCAGGCTCCTTCAGTGTGGTTATGGGATTCATTTGTAATACAGTTGGGTTTGCCTTGAGTGCTTGTATTCCATTTTGGGTTCCCTCCAGATCTTTTCTGTGGTTTCAATCAATTCTTAGTATCTTAGAATTGTATAGGTATTCAGAAGGTTCACAAACACAGAGCCAAAAGGACAGCTTGTCTGTAGAGTTGGGAGATTTTGTGTAGAATTATTTATGTCAAAGAATTGTGTATAGCCCTGTGAGTCAAGGAGTGTTACTCTCAAGGTCCACTGGGATCTGAGTAAAAAGCTCCACTGTAGTGACCTGATGCTTTACGTTAAAAACCGTGTCACCTGGCTAGCTAAATCCAAGTTGATGTTCCATTTTGGTAGTTTAATTTTTATCAAAATGGAGTAACTTATTGCACACATATTGTGCTTTAGTTGGTTGAAAAGTGATGAGTTTCATTGGAAATGGTATTTAATTAAGAACATGCCCCATGAATTTTGACATAGGTGATGAAGGAAATAATTGAAAAATTCTGTTTAATATAGTTAGAAATTAGTTGTTTTTACCTTTTAGCATTGTTATGAATGTATGACAATAAACGAGTTGTTTTAAAGAATACACTTCTAAAATAGATATCTGGAGTTTGTTCGCAGATTATTTGATGGTTCAAGGTACTTAGCGTTCAGTTACTTTTCTAACTTGAGCTCTTCAATAAAAATTTTATTATTTCTGATTCTTTTTTTTTTTTTAACTTTATTTTTATTTATTTTTTCCCCCCAAAGCCCCAGTAGATAGTTGTATGTCATAGTTGCACATCCTTCTAGTTGCTGTATGTGGGACGCGGCCTCAGCATGGCCTGACAAGCGGTGCCTCAGTGCGCGCCCGGGATCCGAACCTGGGCCACCAGCAGCGGAGCGCGTGCACTTAACCACTAAGCCACGGGGCCGGCCCCTATTTCTGATTCTTGAGGGTGGCAAGATGAAGAAAAATCAGAGAAAAAGATAATGAAATAAAAATCACTTGGAGCTTTTACTTTGCATTCTGGATTTAACACCACAAAATTTAAGAGAAATGAAGCCAGCCCTAATTTATTTATTTGCGTATATTTATACCTTTTTTTTTTAACGTCGAGAAGTGAGGTTAATAGAAAATTCTCGTGGAATCTGAGCCATACATTTCACTCACAAGCCCCAATATGGTTTTGTACCTGGAAGTCTTTTTCCTAACCTTGACTTTCTTTAGGGAAAACTTGTTATTGGACACAATATGCTCTTGGATGTCATGCACACAGTTCATCAGTTCTACTGCCCTCTGCCTGCGGTAAGTGACTGTTCAGCCTGTGTTAAAAATTCACAATTCTTTATTACTGAGGAAGCGTTCTCACTTGGGTGCTGTTTCCTTGTATGCAGTATGTTCCCAAAGAGAGAGTCTCCCAAAGAGAGAATTTTCATGCGCTTGGTTGTACATTTTTGAAGAGATGTGCATACAAGCCATTTTAAGGGGTCTTCAGTCATCTGCCATTGCCAGAACAAGGTTAAACCTTCGTTTCATCTTGATGTCAGTGGTTTGCTCAGTTAGTGCTGGGCAGGGGTTCCCCAGCCACAGGTGTGGTCTTATAGTTGGTACTGCTGACATTAGACATAGCAGGGCCATTGAAGGTGAGTGGTGCTTTAGAGTCAGCTGAACTGGATCAGGTCCTAGAAAATTCTTGATTACCTCCTGCTAGGCTGCTTCGCTTAGATTCTCTGTTGACCCTGGTGTTTTTTCACTCTTGGAGCCAAGTCATCTCAGTGCACCAAAGCATGAGCTTCTTTGGTGGCACAGGAAAAGAGTTCCTCTTCTGTCTCTCTCTCTTCTGCTCCCTGAATCCCTCTCCTTTATTTTCACACCATAATTTCTGTCCTTTAGCGATTTCCCCAACTTTCATAACTTCAGCTGAAAACACCGACATCTTTTTTTTGTGTGTGTGTGTGAGGAAGCTCAGCCCTGAGCTAACATCCATGCCAATCCTCCTCTTTTTTTTTTTTTTTTTTGCCACAGCATGGCCTGACAAGCAGTGCATCAGTGCGTGGCTGGGATCTGAACCCGGGCCGCTAACAGCAGAGCGTGCGCACTTAACCGCTACGCCACGGGGCCGGCCGCCACACTGACATCTTTATCTCCAACTGTGATCTCTCCTCAGATCCGAGTACACAGTTCATGCACCTGCTGACTCCACACATCTGCACCTGGATAGCCTTCAGACTAGGTGGTATTTAGAATGTCTCAAACGAAATATGTAACTTACACAACCTTTCTTTTCCTTCTTACTGTTTCTAAACCAGTCTCTTACTTTCTCTTGATTCCATTACTATAAATGATACCCAGTCACCAACACTATTTTTAGCGTCAGTTTGACTCTTCCTCTGTCCTCCAGATCCGGTCAGTTGCAAAATCTTGACAGTTTTATCTGCGTGCTGTTTATCACATCTGGATTGCAAGTAGCCTTGTTTATTAACTGGAGTTTAGTAAACTCCAGGCAGAACTCCCTGTCTCACTTGAACCTTTGTTTACTAAACAAGGTTTAAACAAGAGATTGCCTATCCTTTAAATAAGAGGTTGGCAAACTTTTTTTGTTAAGGGCCAGATAGTAAAATATTGGGCTTTCTGTGCTGTGCGACGTCTGTCACAACTCTCAACGCTGCCGTTGTAGCCCAAAAACTGCCACAGAATGCATAAACAAATGGGTATGGCTTTGTTCTCATAAAATTTTATTTAAAAAGTAGGCAGTGGGCCAGATTTGGCCTGCAGGCCATGGTTTGCCAACCCTTGCTTTAAACTGCCACTAGATTAATCTTTTATTACTTCTGGATTGGGAGATACCCACTTTAGAGTTCAGTCTCATTTATACGTCTGCAAAGCCTCAGTTACTTACGTTTCTTATGTGACATTGTTCCTTTAGCACCTTGATTATTGCCTTGGAAAAGTCCAGCACAGCCCAGCCACGAATACACTGGGGCTGTTGCTCCCTTTGTCCTATTTCTGCAAACTTAAGGTTCTCACAGCTTTTCCTGATAACTGTATCACCCTCTGGGACTCAAAGGCTTGTGAGTCTCAAACATGATGGGTACGAGTTTGCATTGTATAAATCTAAAGAGCTAATATTTATTTCACATCAGCCACTTCTTACAGGCCGAACAGACCAAAGTAGCGCTTCTCTCATGACTTTTTGACCTTTAAAGCAATGAAGTTATCAGTAAGGAAAGAGGAAAGTAAATTTAGTACTGTGTTTATAGGTGTTTTGAATACCAAACAGAGCTTGGCACATAGGAGGCATTAAATATTGATTTAACAAATGAGTATCTTCCACCAGTTTTATAATCTTCTGTTGTTTGGCTCTATTCACATCACTGACCCTTCTCAAAATTCTGAACTAATCCCATATTCTTTGTTTTTCTATATAGTTGACTCTTTTTAGCCTGGCATACCAAGCTTTCTATAATCTGGCCCAATGTTCTTGTGTAGTCTAGTCACTCGTTACTCTCCTTATTCTCAACCAGGCTCGTTTGTTCCCTGGAAAGTGCTTTGTGTTTTTTCTTGTGTGTGTTTTTGGTATATAATTTCCTCCAACTTGACTTGTCTCTAGCTTTTCTCAATGTTTGCTGTATGCACCTTTCCCTGTCTTACCAAGGTCCAGCTTATGCCTCTTGTCTGAAGTTTTCCCTGCCTGCTGCCTTGCCCAAGACGTGATTTCTCCTTTCCCTGAGCTCCCTCAGAGCTGTGTACCTCTTATGGTGCATAAATTGTGTTTTTACAACTTATCCCTCTCCTCCTTCTAGATGGTTGGCTCCATGGACAAGGAGCATAACGTTTTTGTTGTCTGTGTCTAAATGCATAGCATACACTCTGTATGTAAGCACTTAATAAATGTTCACTTGAATGAAACTAGTTTTGAATCAAATTCTAGTAGAAGAAGCATGTGATTTGTTGCCGAGTGAGAGGTGGGTTAGGGTAAGTTGTCTCATCCCTTGCTTTATTACTGAGGTGACCTGAGTAAGTTACTTAGCTTTTTTGTGTTCTGTCATTGTCAAAGGGAGAAAATGGTTTTCTTCCATCTGCTTTTAGAAGAAGTGATGAGAATAAATGAGAAAACATATTTAAAATTGTAGAGCTTTAATATGCACTGGTACCAAATTTTCCATTTAAAAGTATACTAAAGAATCCAAAGTTTGGAGCTGCCTTTTGGGGGAGAGTCTCTTCTCAAGAGTCTTCTTGGTACCTCAGCATGACCTTTTAGAAGGCATTGGTCTAGAACTCCGCTATCTGCTGGCCCTGGAAGTAGCCATAATTCTAATTTTTTCTTGCTTGTGAAGCTTTGTAATGGTACTGAGAGATTACAAACAGTCATTATTGCATTTTTGTTTGACTTAGCATTGAAACCACTTGTTCGTGTATTGTCCATTAATTTAACAATAGCCATTGAAAAGCTGGTAAATATTTCAGACTAGCTAAATACAGTCTGTATTTACAGGCTTGCAAAGCTAATTGGAAATGGCAGTTTCCTATGAAGCATGAATAACGCTGTAGAGACGTGTAGTTGGGAGGGGTCAGGAGTATGACTGCTCAGTCTAGCGTGGCAATTATGTATGTAAATAAGTTAATTCAAAATGAGAGCACTCTCATTTCAGCTTTAGACTTCCTGATCAAAGTAGACTTGGGAAATGAATTGTCTAATTGAGGCACTCGATATTGGTGCCACTTTAGCAGTTTTCTGAGTAGTTAAAGCAGGAATAATGTGTGTATTGAAAAGTCTGTGTTTTAGTGGCCATTTTAACCAACATTTCAAAGGTGCTCCCAGTAAAGGTATAGTCTAGTTTACACTATTTCCATTTCCTATATAAACCATTTTATTTAAATAACTCTGCTAGCCTCACCATTATGAATTTGTCTAATAGAGCAATTACTGTAAGTTTTCTATATATAATAGAAACCTTTCTCCTGCCTCCTATTTCAGGCATACAATGCTTAAATTTGTCTATTTTGGTTATGCAAAGGTTTTATTTCGTGATTCCCAATCAGTGAGAAATTGGGAAGATTTTTAAAAAGTATTAACTAGAAATGGGTCTGGCAATTTAGCTTAAAGGGGCTTGTGTGAAGTATCAGAGTTTGTTTGTGAAGAGAGCTATGGAACTTGAAATATTTATGTTTGTTTTTAAGTTTGGAGCTGCCTTTTGTGAGCGTATTAGTAAAATTGTAACAAGTCATTCTCTTGTTTTTTAGGACTTAAATGAGTTTAAGGAGATGACAACATGTGTTTTCCCCAGGTAAGCTTTCTTTGAGGATTTGTCTTCCATTTGCAACAGTCATCATGGCATATATAATACAAATAGGTATGTAGTAATTTATTAAAACCATTAGATTGTGAATATAATCCAGTTGATATAACCTGGGAAATTTTTTAATAGCCCCAAGTTTGTGATGGTTTGCTTTTATAATTGGTGATTGGTTTTGTCACTCCATTAAAAATCAAAGTTTTAACTGAGAGTGAAAATAGGTAGCAGCTCCTTTTTTCTCATCCCACACACATCCTGCTGTCTGAAGAACTGGTGAAGTTTTCTTGAGTTGGCTCTTGTCTTTCTTGTATGTTGGATATAGTCATGCACCACACAATGACGTTTGGTCAATGATGGACCACATATGTGGCGGTGGTCCCGTAAGATTAGTACCATATAGCCTAGACGTGTAGTAGGCTCTACCATCTTGGTTTGTGTAAGTACTGGAGGGGAGGAAGAAATTTTCCTCTGCTCTTCTAGGTTCTTCTGGCTGGTCTAAGAATTAGTTGACGTGATACAGTTTAACAGGAGAAAAACAAAAGTTTAATAATATGTATACATGGGAGAAACACAGGAAAACTAAATAACTCACCAAAATGGCTGGAGCCTTCACCTTAAATACTGTCCTCAGCTAAAGACAAAAGAAGATGTTTGAGGAGTGGGGAGAGTCAGGGACTTCAAAGGAAAAAAGGCAATTCACAGGTAGGTGAAAAGGAGCAAATTTGGAACACAAATATTTGGTTACACAGAAACAGAAGAACATAGAGGGGAGCCCAACAAACAGGCTTTTCTAGGTTCCTCCCAGTCTACCACCTAGTTCGTGTTATGCTGAGGTGATAGCTCGCTTCCTGAGACAGATTTTTTTGTTTGAATTCTGTTCGGCAGTTAAGGAGGAGGTAACAAGAAAAACTTGCTGAATCTTTTGTTTCTTAAAAATAATCAGCCTAAAATAATCCTCACGTTAAAGAGACATTTGGGGATGGCAAGTTTTGTTCCCCTTCAGTACATTCTGTGATGTTTCCGTGACGAAATGACCTAATGACTCATTTCTCAGAACGTGTCCTCATTGTTAAGTACCGCATGACTACGTATCTTGTCACAGTGAACTGTCCAGTTGAGAGTATTCTGTATTCAGTCAACTGTCTAGCTAGAGATATTTTTCCTCAACTTTAAGTCAGTGCCTTTACCTGTTAGTATTTTCCACAGTTAACATTGCGTGTTAGTTCTGATATGTCATGTCCGCTAGATCACATGCCAGCTATGTGGAGCCTACAGAGCAAGCGTCTGCGTTTGAGAACCCATTTGAAAGGGGACGGGCATGGTAGCGGAGCAGTTGCTCTTTCAGCTGGGTTATTTCTGTCCTGTTATCTACAATGTTCACATTTATGTGAAAAGAAACAGTTTTCGTATTAGTGTCTCTCTCTTTTAGTATTCCGATATCTGCAATAGAGTAGTAAGGAATAACAACAATAGCATGAAACTACCAAGTGCAGATTTTGACCCTCCAGGAATTTATATCGTACAAGTCTGGGTAGTGGTAGTAGATGGCAACAGCTTGGGAATGTTAGACCTGCAGCAGTATTTGAACCGTGTAAACCATATGAGGATATTTGACTTACCCTAGAGATTGACATAGCCCGCACCCTCTCAGGGTACAAGCAAGTCTAGAACTTGTGCTCTGAGTGTGGCAGGGTGTGGACTCTCCCACAGCCTCTTGATGAAGTTCCTGGTTGAGGAGACTGAGTCCCCACTCTAATGTAGCAGAGATGCCAGCACTAGGTCAGAATGGCCAATGTGCTTAATTCCCCTGTCCACTTTTAAGACACTAGGCTATTCGTTTGAGTAAAATATATTTTGAACATTGATGTACATTTTGTTTATCTTATTAAAAATTCTTTTGTCTTTAGACTTTTGGATACTAAATTGATGGCCAGCACACAACCTTTTAAGGTATTTAAAAATTTTGAATATCACTGATAAGCTATATTTTTGAAACTTTCTGAATTGCTCACTAAGAGCTTTAGACTTCTAGTGTATTTAAATGTAATTTTTAAATACATCCCCCAAAAAAGGAAAGAATGAAAATGAAAAAAAAATTGGAAAAAGGCTATAAATAAATATATCAAAATGTGAATAAGCAGTTGTCTTTGGGTGGTAGAATTATGGGTTTTTTATCTTTTATTTTTTGAATGTAAGCTTTCTAATATTGAAATACATAATGTATTTTTGAATACATTACACATGCACACTTCATTTCTTTACTTATTTTCTATATTTGCTAATATAAGATATATTTTCTAATCAAGAAAATTCAGGTGAAAGTATAATCATTTGCTATTTTGTGAAGTGACTTTATATAACTGAGTGAAACGAATGCGAGAAGAGTATAGCTTTCTGGCCAAAGGTCTGTAGATATTTAACACATCTGTAAAAACCTTTCATATGGTTGTACTTTCCATATGGTGAAAATTAAACTCAACTTCTGTGTTTCTGTAAAGAACACAAGGGGGCAGTATGAGATGCTTTTTTTTTTTTTTTGGTCCTGACATTCAGTGAATCTCTTTAATACGTGTTGCGCTGAGATGATAAGGGCTCATAATTCTCTGCTTGCCGGTTGACAGGATATCATTAACAACACATCCCTTGCGGAATTGGAAAAGCGGTTAAAAGAGACACCTTTCAACCCTCCTAAAGTTGGTAAGAATATAAAATGATCCTGAAAACCTCCAAATTTTCTGTGATAATTATTGATGTATATTGTAGCAGAAAGGTGAAACTGGTCTAGAAACTCTATTGCAGATTTATAGATTTTGGCTAAGTTAACTTGCTCAAGCCCTGTGTCGAATTACTGTTTTCTGAATAAAGGTGGTCTTCTAATCCTACATTTATTTTATGTTAATAGAGTTGGGTAGTCTGTTCATTGAGAAGTTTAGCAATTAAAGCTTCAGGGCTTTTATTTCCTAATGCTTGGAATTCTCCCAAAACTTAATGTGCCCTCCTTTTTTATGGTGCATTGTTTAAGCAGAGACAAAGAGTAGGTGATTAATTGCCAGGGGTAGAATGGAAATATACTTTTTGTCTCAGAAAAGCCCAAGAACTGGGTTTACAGTGGAGGAAGGAGAGTCTCCACCCCTGCCTCCTTCAGAGCTGCCTTAGGAGTGGGAGCAGCACTGAGGAAAACCAGAAGTAAGGAGGAATGTTTCTCAGGGGTGGAGATGTTTTGCATGTCTGGCCATGCCCCCTACTCAGGTATTTGGTGAACCTTCCAGGTGTTACTTCCTTGGTTCCTGTTAGCCTGATTGTGCTGCTGATACTGTAATGGTAGCTGTAGCTTGCAAACTTCTGAAGACGGTATAGGACTAATGGTTCAGAAATTGACAATGGAAGGTACTAAATCAGGCAAGATAACACTTATTTGCTTCCGTTTCTGGGTAATAGATCAAAAAAGGAATTAAGAAAAGGAGTGGGAGGAGAGAAAACCTCGACCTTTTCTATAACAGTATAATGGAAATAATTGATTTTGGAAATATGTGTTTCAGCCTGTGGTAGAGAATATTACTTAGTTGGCTATCATGTTAAAAGACATTTTTTAAGCTTAAAGTCTAAAATATTTAATACTTAGGAGGTTAAGGAATTCTTGCTTGAAGGGCATTGTATTGACCTAAAAACAATTACAGCCTTTTCATTGTTAATTTCCATTCATGCTTTTGATTCTGTTGAATCCTTTTTGATATTCATTTCCAGAATGGTTCTAGGAAATAATTATTTGTGAGTTATAGTTTTATCCTATTATTTCCATATAATATTCTGGTATCTGGTAGAGAATTTACTCTAAAGCAGGTCACTCTTCTCAGATGTTACCCTCTCAGCATCTGTATAAAGCAGTGTGACAAAAGAATCATGTTATAAAATGGTCTCTCCTATGAAGTGGCCCCATGTTCCAAATGCAGCATTACAGCAAGTTCTGATGTATTTTTGGAGTCAGTTGTGCTTTCATCTTTAGATCTGTAAGCTTGGAAACATAGAAGAGGACACTATTGAATTGAGCTGCCAATATTGATTGGAGTCTTTTTTGGCGGGGAGGGTGACTTGGGTATTTATAGATAACAGTGACTAGACGTTTACCTTGTACCAAGCGCTGTGTAAGAGCTTTACTTACATTAGCTCATCTGATTCTCACAAAAGCCTAATGAGGGAGGTTTGATTGTCATCTCCATTCCACCAGAATGGAGGCCCAGAGGTGAAGTGACTTGCCCGAGATCACATAGCAAATAAGTGATGGAGCAAAGACTCAAACTCAGACAGCAGGCTCCAGAGTCCATTTTGTTAATCGTTACTCTGAAATACCTGTTGTGTCTCGATGTTATCATTATCTATAAGAGAAGAAGCTCCTTTTTGTGACTTTAGGAAGCAATCAGAAGAGGAATCATTGTCGTAGGGTGAGTCATGCATGGTCGTAAATAGCACCCACCAGTGTGCAACGAGGAGGCCTGCGCAGAGTCTTTGGTAATGTATGTAACGGAGGCATTTCTCTAGTCTAAACCAAAGCCCTCGTTTTCCATGACTCTGATATCTCATATTATAAAGTCTTGTGTGGAGAGAATTAAGAAATAGCTTTTCTCCTGCTTATTTAGGATATTTTAGCAGTACAAACTAAGGCAGTTTGGATTTGGTAGGGCAGCGTGCTTCCCAATATTCGTGATTTGTGATGTCTCTTGGGAAAACTGTTTTTTCTTTTTTCTGTTTAGAAAGTGCAGAAGGTTTTCCAAGTTATGACACAGCTTCTGAACAGCTCCACGAGGCAGGCTATGATGCTTATATCACAGGACTGTGTTTCATCTCCATGGCAAACTACCTAGGTACTCACTATACGTGTTCCTGTCTACCGTGCAGTGGTCTAGAGTGGGTCTCACCTGTCTGCCGTTTCCCTGGGACCCACTCACCCAGTTAGAAGTGGGAGGGTTTTGAGGTTGGAGTCGGAGGAGATTGGGGTGAGGGGATGGAGAGTACATAGGAGGAACCGTTGACACTTAACCTGTGGCATGGTATTTGGCCCACGTGAGCACCTTTTACCCCTGCTGAACCATACTGTTGATTTAAATATATTTTTGCCTGAACTTGCAGGCTTTGTCTGTTTGACTGTATATAATCCTCTGCTTCTTTTCTTCATTAGGTTCTTTTCTTAGTCCTCCAAAAATTCATGTGTCTGCCAGATCAAAACTCATTGAACCTTTTTTTAACAAGTAAGTAATCAGAGGGTCCCATTCCCCAAGTTGTCTCTCTGTGGAAGAGCCAGTACTGGGGACGTCAGTTAGGGGTGATTGGGAGGCGCAGTGCATTTTTAGATAAAATATTTCTCATCTCTAGAGACTCAGATTTTTTTGAAAATAGAAATTGACCTCTGGGGAAATAATTTCTTAAATATATTGGCTTAAAAAAAAAAGAAAAGAAAACATTGCCAAAGGTAGTGCATCTCTTCTAAGACACAGAGGTGGTGGTTTTGGAAATTAAATTACCTACGAGAGAGAGAGAGAGAGAATACACAGTTAGACCTAACTTACCCCTAACAAACTTTACATGTGAGATTCTTTCTAAGATGTTGGTTACACAAATGGCTTTTAAGATAGTCTGTGGAGAAGTTCTAATTGTCATCCCGAGCCCTTATCTGAATGGATCCGATGAAGTAAAATCTTGCTCATGTACCTTCATTGTTGGAAGAAGTCAGTGTGATTTCAGGAGAAGTCTAAGTGAATTTTCAAAGACTCTCAAGATTATTACTTCAAAGTGTGATTTGTGCTTTCTTGGCACAGTCGAGACTAAAGTTATGGATATGATCCTCAAGCAGACCACAGCTTGGCTCTGTGCCAGAGCCCTAAACCTTCGTCTTTACCCCAACTCTCTTAGCAGGGTTGGTTCTAGGAGATTCTGGGCAAGCCAGACAGAACAAGGCAGCCCACATCGATCACTACCACTGAGAGAGTGAACCATTTCACTCTTGGGCTGGTTACATCATTTCCTTACATTACATGCAGCACTTTACAATCCTATCAGTGCTTTACCAAGTAAGAATACTGTCTCCTTCAGATGCCTGTATAAATACTAGTATCACAGCGCTTGTACTTAGGTGACAGCCTGCAGAGACAGATGTTAATTCCAAACATCTGGATTCCTACGGGTTCGGAATTTGTGTAGTCTGAGTTAGGGAATTTTATCATACTGTGGCTTCTTATTTTCTTAATCTTTGTTCTTCTTTTCTATGTAAGTTCAGAGGTAAATGTGTTTGACTTTCAAAACATCTTTCAAAGAGGGCTGGGTAACCATGTTGTATATATTGAAAATTAAGTTGAATTTTTCCACATGGAAAATTAATTCTGCTAACAATTGAGTCCTTGCTGTCTATCTATTTCCTTATGGGGAAAACAGGATTTTCTTACCTCTTAACTCTCATTTTGGGGGCAGTGCTTATCTTTATCTTTGTAAATCTTTGGAAAGGCAGCTTATGTCATAGACTGTTGAACTTGCAAGTGACACTAAATATTGTTTGGATCATGACCATTCCTTGCAGTTTTATGTGCATGATGTTAAGTTTGTTGTTCAACAGTATTTTTCAACTGGGAGATGTTTACTCATTTTTAAATATTTTAAATAATGATCCTGCGTCTTCACTAAAATCAACTCCTTATAAAATCAGATGATGTATACAAACTGGGTTAGATATAGGCTGCATCTAGTTTATCAGTAATCTGTCTGACCAACATGAAGAGCAGTCAAAATAAGCTTTGATTAAAAAGCTTAATTAAGACTATATTTTCTAGATCAATTTGATTTTGCTAATAATGTGAAAGACTGTTACTCAAAAGAACTGGACAGTAAACACATAGCTTCATTTTAAATTGGGACATCTGTCCATTCAGATTTTTTTTGCCAAAACCTAGATGCATACCAAAAATAGTTGAGGATTCAGAAATCCTCCTGTGATATTGCACTGAAAATTCTTGCGTTTGATTTTTTGCTCTATTTTTTCCCCATCTCTAAAGGAAGAATATTTTCTTCATCTTTGAAAGAAAAAGAATTCCAGCAGGATTTGAAATGCAAAATAAGAACTATTTTTATTCTATATTGGAATAGCGTGGTCAAGTACAGTCATCCATTCTTAACCCATTTAGAAAGTGGAAAGAGCAGTTGCTTCTTTTGACATCTCTTTCTGCTTTTCAGGATTACCCTTGTAGAAAAACATCTGACAATTGCCATTAACTTTATCTCAAGTGGTTGATTTTAGAAGAATCTGTAAATTTTTCTGAGGGTTTATTTGTTTTGGCACCGGGCTTTTCTCAATGTAAGCTTAACCAAATATGCATAGTCCTAACACAAATTTGGATGAACATCAAACCACCTACATATGCAAATAATATTTTGTTCTGCTCTCACCAGATTTATGTTTAAAAAGTAAACCTTCAGGGGAAATAAACTCCACCTGTTTCTGCATTATTCTAAATTAGTGTTGGGCTGCATTGGGTGTGTCTTTTTGGAAGCTTTATTGAGTTAACTATTGAGACGATCCTGAGACAGCTGGTGTTTGAGCAGTATGCAAAGACCAAATGTAATATAAGGTGCTCTCTGAGCGATATTTGTCTGGAAGAATCTCCCATGAGGATTTTGTATGGTGCCATTTTGTCTCTTTCATGGCCTAGGCACCTCCCCTATTTCTCCTTACTTTGTTGAAATCAGAATGAAAGTCATAAGAGAGTTGAGCGATGGAAATCAGGATCAGAGCAGTGCTAATGACAGGCTGTGTGGAATGTGCTCCTCGTTTATGTTGTAGGCTCTCTGGCCAGAAAATGATTTACCTTCTTTTATAACCTTGGTCAGTTTTAATCAATGCATGGAAAACCAGACTTAGAGAAGATCCTTTGGTCAAGTCCTTTTAGGCTGGAAAGAGCTAAAAATACTCTCCGCTTTTGCTTTTTATTGCACCACAGAAAGCGCAAAATCAGACTTTTGCCTTATGTTTTATTAACAGTCATCTGTTTCTGCGAAACACCTTGAACTCTCTTGTAGATCACCTTTTATGAAGGTTTTTGGGGAAGGTTATTTTCTCTTTACCTCAGTTCTTAGAAAGAGGAAGGAAATGAGCAGATCTTTTATTTTGGCTCGTCTCTGTAAGTAACGGAGTTAAAGAGGGAGAATTGCCTGCAGTTTACTGTAGAGGATGGCCACCTTATTCTTGACACAGGTGTTCTAAAACTGAACAGGAGTCCTCTAGAAATCTAATTCCTGGGATGACAGTGCCGGATGTTCTTTCTAAGCTGCAGATGATGAAACAAGCCATAAGCAGGAGTGATATGTTCTTGGACAAATCGTTTCCTCTTCTTTAAAATGGCGGTAAAACTGTTCGCCTCCCATGGAAGTTAAAAAGATTGCACGAAAGCTTAGTAGGTGCCCAGTATATATTATTTTTGTTTCTTGAAGTGTAAAAGAATTTAACATGCTAGGAGATTCAGAAAAATAGATGTGGTAGCAGAATGTGTTTTATGTTTTTGGTTTCTTGACAAAGAAGAAAATTTGGTATCATGTGGATATAAAATTGGAGCAAATGTGAAGTGTTCGCTTCTGCTTGTACCCACCTTTAGAGTTTGCTCATGAAAAATCAGATGATGTTGAAGTGTGTCAGGCTGTACCTATGGAAGCAAATTTGCTTTGATTTGGAGCATTTTTTAAAGTTTTGTTATTCAAATGAATATAGCAATTTATCGAAAGTGGTATAGGTATATATAAGAGTGATAAGTATAGAGAGGGGAGGAACCATTATGGTGCCTGAAATAAAGCCCAATGATGTTTTCTCCCTTTTCCTCCATGGAAATCAATCATGTGCTGGCAGCAAGTTGCTTTTTTTGTATAATATGCATGTGCTTCATATTTACCCTCAGAGAGATTTTAAAATGAAGGATTATAGGAAAACAAAATAGTAAAGATCAGTGCTGTACCTCCTTTCTTCCAGCCCTTTCACTGGTAATGGACAGAGCAATTCTCGTTTGCCCCTGTTTACTAGCAACTGTCATTCATGCCGAGCAGCGTGGTATGCCAGCTTGCTAGTGAGTTGTCAGTGGGCCCCTGTGTCCAGAGGTGCAGACCCTGCTTGTCTCTCGAGGGAACGGTGCCTGATCACCTGCAGGGGGGCCCTCACTTATGCTTCTCCTGTCCTGCCTGGCCCTCCTCATAAGGAGGAACAGAAGGTGCTGAAATAATAAGAGGATGAGGCCAGTCTATTCTGAGTCCCAGTGTCTGCTGTCAGTTTTTAGCATCCTGGGTGATGGATCGAGTATGTCTTTACTGAGATACTGGTCAGGTCAGGTATAAATTAAGTCCATTGTTTTATTTATTTTTTTTATTTTTAATTTGTGTGTGTGTGTGTGTGTGTGAGGAAGATCAGCCCTGAACTAACATCCCTACTAATCCTCCTCTTTTTTGCTGAGGAAGACTGGCTCTGAGCTAACATCTATTGCCAATCCTCCTCCTTTTTTTTCCCCAAAGCCCC